TTTCTTTTGAAGCTGAGACGTCATCGTCGTCAAAGGCAATAAAGACACCTATAGCTCATTTTTTATTTGTATGATTTATTTAAAAAGGAACAATGCACATATATTTAGGGCATACTGTACATGTTTGCATTTCATACATTACACCGGAGCCTATGCTTTACATTTGCAGTCCACCAAACAAAGAACAAACAACATGTGAGGGTTGAACACGTATGAAACACACTAAAACACATCCTCATACAAAGACATGTACAGAGCACACTCTTCTCCTGACGCACACACATGCACATACACCTTTAAGGCTTTTCACTTCTGTCTTAAATCTTTCCAGAGGGGTGCATATCTTTGTGAGGTGGAGGAGCATTCCAGTAGTGACCTTCACTGAGGCTGATTGTGGATCGACGCAACAGTTCTGTACAATCATGTTCAGAGGCTATTCTCATGGATCCATGGTGTGGATCTTAGTCTGCTGCACATAACTCAGACATTTAAAGAATACTCACAAAGAAGAGGTGTTGAAAAGAACATTGTGAATACTGTTCATTGAATGAATAAAATCTTCTCAGAGATGTGTCGTGGGCAGAGTAGTCATTAATGATACAGGTAGAATCCCTGTTTCTTGCGCATGCGCCCCGGCCCCGCTCCCACATCAGCATCAGCAGCAGCATCAGCAGGAGAACATCAGTCTCTTCTGCTCCTGATGCTGCGGCCGGAGGGATGCTCACCTCCCGCCTGCATGAGCTCATGGACAGTCCTCCTCTGAAGAGCCTTTGGGAACTTCCACAAACTTTACGACTTCACTGAGGTCAAAACAGCCGGCGATGCGCCCCTGATTCGGGACGGGACTCACGGACCACGCAGTAAGTCGAGCGTGGTTCTTGACTTACTAAAGAAGTCTGATTGTGTGTTTGCATGCACCTAATGTGTTATCTTTGTGCCAGTTTCAGTACGGACTTTGTCAAATAGAATCCAAAAACACAAACACGTGATTTCTTCCAGTGGACACGTAACCACGAAGTACGCGATCCAAAAACGTTGTGTGTGATAAATGTTGTCGGGTTGTGTATTTTTTCCTTTTTACTCATATTTTCATATACAACAATATTCTCTAATTATTATAGTGTATACAGTATGTATATGATAGACTATAGCTTCTTTACATTAGAGCTTGCATCGCTGCGACACCTGCATTCCAAAGAAACTTTGTGCAGCTCACAACAGTTGAAGTTCTTTCACTTTCTCTCCACGTCCCAAAGCGTCAAATAGTGACCCACCGGGCTCTTTTTTATATGCTTCCAAGAGAGAGAGAGAAAAAAACCAATGACAGAATAATGTGGTTTGATTTGTATTATTATTGATTTGATTTTTATTTTACTGTTGCAAGAAATAGAATATATAGTTTATGTAAGGAATCCCGACTTGAAGCTTAAAAGTGTAATTTTAACATCATTAATTTATTATGCACCTTTCATGACTACTTTAGAATTTAGAAAAAATATTGGTTTAATCACTTTATTTTATTTAGATTGAAATGTCCCCCTGCGTTTGTCCAAATTGGCCTAATATGCAGGATCCCGATATGCACGATCACTCCTTTCTGCATACGGTCCTGATGTGAGCTGAGTCTATGGCAACAGTGACAGATGCATTTGATGTACAATACAGTACATAAGAGGCTGCGTACAATGGAAAGCTGTTTCTTTCAGTGCATTCCATTTGTTTCATCGATTTCAAAGCAGTCAAAGCTCAATAGATGCAGAAGACGCCCCATATACAGACCTGTCATTCACCGCTCGCCTCGGCAAGAACAACCACAATGGGCAATCACAACTCTCTGTCAGATTCAAGGAACGAGATGTAATAATTGACAATGTCCACGTAACACTCAGATCAGACAGTCTCAGTCATTGTCAAGTTTGATAATAATCCCAAAACGGTTTGGATGTAACGAGGGGAAACACATTCTTTTGTCTAATTTGAAGACTTTTTTGGATTGAAAAGAAGATTTTGGACGAGATACATCTATTCAAATCCTAATATTGACAGTTCAAAGCTTACATTGTGCACCAAGAACTGCAATTGACATGAAGTAAAACAGTGGTCGCCATTTGCTTTCAGGGAACTCTCCAAAAGTTTAAGAACTCCGAAATTTCGCACATGATGTAGAATGATTTAGAGTAATAACATCTGTCGAATGCTATGTTTTGCTTGCGAGTGTTCTCCATGTTTTTATGTAGTTATTCTGCTCTTTTACAGTTTTACAGAGAGTAGTTCTGACATTTCCCTTTACTAAATGTAGCTCTCTGATCAAAAAAGGTCGGAGTCTCCTGAAGTAGAGTGTTGTCTCGGAAAAGAGAGTACAAATGTTCAGCCTCAGTATTTTCTTTTTCTCTCTACAAGACATGATAAAAAGGATTTGTTCATGTATAGATATAAATAATTGTTTATTCTATTCTGCATTTTTACATTGGCATACATGAAGGAATCTATGTGTTTCATTTGGCTGTATTTTATATTAAGTATAATGACTTAAAAGTATTACATTCACCAACTGTATTATGACCAAAAAAAAGGCTTGAAGCTTGAATTTTAAGCCCCTCCCCTTGAATGTTAAATCTATATATACATTTAACTTTAAGGATCAATATGTATCGACATTGAGGAGTTTTGCCCATTCCCTCATTAGTTCCTTTTCAAACTGGAAGAGCAGATCCCTGGATCAACTTTGGAAATCTCGTTCCAGAAGTGTGCAGTGGTCGGAACAGCAAAGATACCGCACAGGACTCTCAAGCTCCCTGGAGGACCCGAGCTTAGAGGGATGTTTTTACTGTGCAGATATTAACAGTAAAAACAAAGTACGATCACATTAGTCCAGTCCTCAGGTCTCTGCACTGGCTTCCTGTGGCTCAGAGAATAGACTTCAAGGCAGCGCTGCTTGTGTAGTCTCTCCATGGCCTTGCATTAAAGTATTTAAGTGATACGTTAGTGCCATATGAACCAACCCGGACTCTGAGGAGCACAGGGACTGGACTCCTGTTAGTGCCCAGAGTCAGAACTAAACATGGGGAGAGAGCGTTCCAGATTTATGCAGCTAAAATCTTGAACAATCTTCCTGAAGATCCATTCTCGCAGTTTTCATATCCAGGTTAAAAACAGTTCTGTTTAGCTGTGCATAAACTGAAGGATTTTGTATTTAGTCTTTTTAGTGCATTGTGGCTATTTATTATTTTAATCCCATTTGTGTTTTTAATATTTGAATGTTTTTAATTAGTTTTGATTGTATTCTGTTTTTGATATTTCTTGTGTTTTTTATGTATACAATATTATGATTTTCTGGATATGATGTGGGTTATGAGGAGCTTTGTGTTGCCTTGCAGGAAAGGCGCTCTACAAATAAACGTTGATTGATTGATATTTAGTTGAAAATTACCGCCAGTTCACCAAAATCTGTTCAGCTTTTGATGAGTTCTTCCATGGACACAAATGTTTTATGAATAGTGGGTTTATCCAAGCGTGGAGGTGCACATCCATGTGACCTGCAATCAAGGAATTGTTTAGTGACCCTCATGTTATCAAAGGATCAATGTCTGTCATTCAGAATCAGGTTTGTCTGACGGAGCAGAGTGCCACAGAGAGGAGGGGTCTGTGGGTCTCGCTGAGTGTTTGAATGGAATGACGTGAAATGTGTCTTGTAACGGTGCGATTTAAACACTTTTTTTTTATTGGCTGTTAACTACAAAGTATGTTATAATATTCAATAGCAGCAAAACAGCAAAACTCTGGGCAGGCTATGAATGATTAGAGGAGTGATAAAAGGCAAAAACTTAAAGGAACAGCATGTAATCTGTAAAGTGTGTCCCCAGATAACAGGTCAACAATGTACAAATCATATTGGAATGTTGTGAACAAAGTTAATTAGTAAGTTGCTCCATCGTGATATCAATAAAGTTTATCTTATTTTCTTATCTTATCTTAAATGACAATATATTTAATGTTGACTTAATGTAGTATGTAGTGTATGTTGTGGACATGATGTACTATTGCAACAATACATCATCAGTATAGGGTAAAACTAACCTGTCTCACAACGCTCTAATCCCAGCTCACGTTCCCTACTAGTGGGTGAACAATCCAACACTTGGTGAATTCTACTTCACAATTATTATTATTATCATTTGAATTTAGGACAGTACATATTAATACATGTGTCTGCAAACAGCGCCAACATAAATATGCTGGAATTAGCAGAATAGCTCAATTGCATCCATTGTCCTAAGGCAGGTAAGAGACACACAAACACACAGTTAGGTCACAGTACAAACAATAAGTCGACAAGCCAGACATACAATATTTAAAAGAGGAGAGAAAGAGAAAGTCCAAGGAAGAGCAGATTATCTATGGGAGCATGACTGGTTTAATTTCAACCAATGTTTGGGTCCCACAGTTTCATACGTGTTCCGGAAAATTATTCCATAATGTTGTGCCTCTGATAGACGCCACCATTTGGCTGAATTTAGTCCTGCACCATTGTATAACACATGATAGGAATGATAGGAAAAGCCCACTTTTAAGTTGCTCTGATTGGACAGATTAACCAATCATAGCCCAAAATGAGTCTCTCTCTTAGGTGAAATTTAGAATAAAACACACATTTCACAAAAATTGTGCTACACAGATTATACATTCCAATGCCAACATTCCTGAGTCTGCAAATTGTGTATCACAGAATTATAGATGAAGCAAGACAAAACAAATCTACAAAGAAAGCAAACTTTTTACAGCGAAAACTTGGGACTATTTGACTTAACACATAAAAGCAACTTAGGTGACAGGGGAAAACCATTGGAGACATTTTTTCTAGATTAAAAACATTTTGTTCCCTGCAGGAGTCCTGTAAGAATACCAGTGTGAACGCTTCTCAACTTGTGTAGTGAAACAAAGTAAATATATGTGTGTCGCTGAACCGTGAAAAAAATCAATGTAAATGTGTATTTTTGCAGATGGGGATGTCCGAGGATGGCATCGACCTGTCGTTCCGCTCCAACATACCTCCACCACTCGATATTACAGTGGCGGTCGTCTACACAGTTTTTGGTGAGAAATATCATTACATAGATTATTTTTATGGGTGCTTTAAAGGAGCAGTATGTAAACATCTGGCCAAAAGTGGTACTACAACCTCTCCCTCTCTCCCTGACTCAGGTTGCCAGATATGCATACAAATCCAGCTGGGACCATGATATATGAAGAATGAGTTTTGTCAACAACAAATCTATAACCAACACTTTTTCACAAAGATAGAAATCCTTGTTTTATTCCTTGTTTTGTCATTAATCATTTGAGAATGATAACGAGGCCTCTTTCAGTTCTGCGGCCACATGTTACTTTACCAGTGAGATTAGCTCGACGTGGTGAGTTCTGGCAACCCGGATCACGGACTTTCTGGAGGGCGGGACATCAAAATGAAAACAATAACAAGATTTAGATCAGGGGTCTCCAACCTGTAGCCCGGGAGCCACCAGTAGCTCGCCACCCCCTTCCAGGTAGCTCGCCAAAGGATTTAGAAATGGACAAATCAGATAATATGCTTAATACTTCAGATTGTATAATTCATTTTCATTATTTGATAGTGTGAATGCACTTATTTGCTCTTGTAACAAATATGCAATGATAAATATTGACTGTACCCAATATACCCCAGGGTTAGCTTAAAGAAGTAGCTCTCTGCCTTTCTCGTCCCAGAAAAGTAGCTCTCTGGGTGATAAAGGTTGGAGACACCTGATTTAGGGGCTGTAAAACTAATTTATAAATCCAGATATCTCGGCTGAACTATTGTTATCAGTTAAAGAGGTATGTGAAAAGAGCTTGTTTTATGAATGCCTTTTGATAGATTAGGGCCATTTATTCATGACTTGACATGAAAATCTTACATATTGCGACTTTAATGTGCTGATGATAAAGTGAGCGGTGAGAGCTCCAGGCTGAAGTGTGTCTGCTCACAGGCGTGTGTTCTCTGATGGGAAACAGCACTTTGTTGTATGTTTCGTACAAGAAGAAGCACCTCCTGAAGCCGGCCGAGTTTTTCATCGTCAACTTGGCCATCAGCGACCTGGGGCTGACCGTGTCTCTCTACCCAATGGCCATCACCTCCAGCATCTACCACAGGTGCCAGGTTTTACTCTCTCATCGTCAACAAGACCTCCTTCAGCCAAACAAGTGATGGGCCCCTGGAAAAGAGATTCGGGATATGAGAAATATTAGTGGATTTTTAAAGATTAAGATTAAAATTAAGAGATTTATTTGTCCCACAGTGGGGAAATTTCATTGCATCACCGATCACAAAACTGTAGGAATGTAGAAACTTTAGCATAATAAAGAAGCAAGCATAAAATCTGTAGGTTTAGCATAATAAAGAAGCCAGTATAATATATTTAGCTTTAGCATAATCAAGAAGCAAGTATAAAATCTATAGCTTTAGCATAAAAAAGAAACAAGTATAACATTTCTAGCTTTAGCGTAATGAAGAAGAAAATTTAAAATCTATAGCTTTAGCATAATAAAGAAGCAAGTATATGTCTAGCTTTAGGATAATGAAGAAGCAAGTATACATTTCTAGCGTTAGCATAATGAAGAAGCAAGTATAAAATCTCTAGTTTTAGTATAATAAAGAAACAAGCATAAAATCTATAGCTTTAAAATAAAAAAGAAGCAAGTATTAAATCTCCAACTTTTTTTTCTCTCATCATCAACAAGACTTCTTCATCTAATCAACTGATGGGCGCCTGGAAAATAAATTCTGAAATCTCAGCAGGACAAATAGGGATGGATTTTTCTCACTACTCTCATCCAGAATGTGTCTTGTTCTTGTGGGTAATAATCAATAATCCCATAATTATCTGTAACGCTACACAAAAGCCCACAAATCACCGTTATATAAGGTGTAGTATGAAATCATATCAAAGGCGAATATGTAAATGATATGGGGGAAGAACATGTTTGTCTCCATGGAGATGTAAGAACATGTCTCCATGGATACGAGCAGTTGCAGTCAGGTTACGAAACAAATCCCTAGAGAGGCAAACCCCTCGTACTGTCTTAGCAAAGAACCCTTAGTGAGTGAAAGTATGTTCATGATTCTATGGAAAAAGAAAAAGGAACATTGGGACATTCTGCAATTACAAGCCAAGTTTGGAGACGTCTAAACTCAGTTACACAGAAAGTTTTTTTTTTTTCAACAATGTTTTGGCTAATAGATGATTTATGATTTATGTAACATCTTAGGTATTAGATCAATGTAATATTACTTGGCATCGCGTCAATAACAGATTTGGCGATTCCTGCATGTGAAAGCCAGATCCTGTCAGACATAGATACAGTAGATAGATAGATAGATAGATACATAGATAGATAGATAGATTTAAATTCAGGTGTCCAGTAGCAGCAAAAATAAAATTGATCATTCTAAAAAGCTAATAATAGTATTAATCAGGCACAGGCCTTCAGGTCAAAGCAGCAAAGATGGAGTAGCCTCTGGGTGGAGCAGGACAGGTCACAGATGCAAAGATGGAGTAGCCTCTGGGTGGAGCAGGACAGGTCACAGAAGCAAAGATAGAGTAGCCTCTGGGTGGAGCAGGACAGGTCACAGAAGCAAATATGGAGTAGCCTCTGGGTGGAGCAGGACGGGTCACAAGGTGGAGTAGCCGCTTGGTTCGGATCATTTTCTCTGCTCTATCCAAAGTAAAATGCTAAATGCTTCATTAGCATTTTTCAAAAGGTTAGCATTCCTCCAATGGATTTTCACCTGATCCGCTTGGTTAAAACCCTGAACACTGTACTGCACCAAGCAGGACAGGTGCCAAAGGGGGGCGGCTGTGGCACCTGTCTTCGGCAATACACTTCAACCACATTGCCTAGGACAGCTGTGGCTATATTCATTTCAAGAATTTATTTGCCATTTGCAGTAAAACTACTTTGGAAAAACTGTGACTACCCAGTGTACATCAGACAGCACACACCAAAGCCCTTGCCACTATACTGTTTAGTTTACAGTGGGGCAAAAAAGTATTTAGTCAGCCACCGATTGTGCAAGTTCTCCCACTTAAAATAATGACAGAGGTCTGTAATTTTCATCATAGGTACACTTCAACTGTGAGAGACAGAATGTGAAAAAAAATCCAGGAATTCACATTGTAGGATTTTTAAAGAATTTATTTGTAAATTATGGTGGAAAATAAGTATTTGGTCACTTCAAACAAGAAAGATCTCTGGCTCTCACAGACCTGTAACTTCTTCTTTAAGAAGCTCTTCTGTCCTCCACTCGTGACCTGTACTAATGGCTCCAGTTTGAACTCGTAATCTGTATAAAAGACACCTGTCCACAGCCTCAAACACTCAGACTCCAAACTCCACTGTGGCCAAGACCAAAGAGCTGTTGAAAGACACCAGGAAAAGAATTGTAGACCTGCACCAGACTGGAAAGAGTGAATCTACAAAAGGCAAGCAGCTTGGTGTGAACAAATCAACTGTGGGAGCAATTATCAGAAAATGGAAGACATACAAGACCACTGATAATCTCCCTCGAACGCAAGATCTCATCCCTTGGGGTCAAAATGATCATGAGAACGGTGATCAAAAATCCCAGAGCCACACGGGGGGACCTGGTGAATGACCTGCAGAGAGCTGCGACCAAAGAAACAAAGGTTACCATCAGTAACACACTACGACGACAGGGAATCAAATCCTGCAGTGCCAGACGTGTCCCCCTCCTGAAGCCAGTGCATGTCCAGGCCCGTCTGAAGTTTGCCAGAGAGCACATGGATGAGGGGTGGAAACGTCATGCTTTGGGGCTGTTTTTCTGCTAAGGGGACAGGACAACAGATCCGTGTTGAGGAAAGAATGAATGGGGCCATGTATCGTGAGATTTTGAGCCAAAACCTCCTTCCATCAGTGAGAGCTTTGAAGATGAAACGTGGCTGGGTCTTCCAGCATGACAATGGGCCTCATTCACGAACGGTTCTTAGGAACAGATTTGTACGTAAATCCTACTTACGCGGTTTTTACGAAGAAAGTGGCATTCACGAATATTTCTCGTAACCAGAATTTGTCTTGGGCAAGTACAAATCCTACGAGTCCTCAGGAGCACTCGTACGCATTCAGTGCCGACATGTTCACACGCCGGGGTTGTCCTCTTTGGTGAAGTTGAATAAAAATACAACATTCCAGTGATATGTCCGTCATATCGATGTATGTATTTATTTATTTGTAGTAATCTTTATTAGTAATCTTTATTTATATACCGCCTTTTTCACTGCAGATCTGGCCTACTTTTTAATTCATTTTGAAATGAAATGTGCCAACGCTTTATCAAATACATTGGAAATCTTGCCGTGTATTAGTGATCCCTTCCTATTTATAGGGGGCATTTCTTTATCCACGGGCCACAGAACAACGGCATATATACTGCTGCTGCAGGAGGTTACTGTGTCCGCGCTGAGTCTCTGCGCTGGTCTCTCCCATATACGGGTCTGCACTGGTCTCTCCATACGGGTCCGTGCTGCATGCTCCTGGATCCATACGGGTCCGCGCTGGTCTCTCAAGTCTGGTCTATGCGGTCTCTCTTCGGTCCGCGCTGGTCTCTGCGCACCGGTCTCTCCAGTCAGGTCACTCCAGTCTATGCGGTCTCTCCTGTCCGCGCTGGTTTCTGTGTGCTGGTCACTCCAGTCTCTCCTCGGGTCTGCATTGGTCTCAGCGCTGGTCCGCGCTGGCTCTCCTCCCAGGGTCCAAAATATTTTGAGATTAATCTCAAAACATTTTGAGATTCATCTTTAAATAATACATAATATATTTTTAAATTAAGCTCATAACATTTTGAGATTAATCTCATCATATTCTTAGATTAATCTCATAATTTTGCTAGTTCGACTTTATTATCATAATATTTCGACTTTTAAGTCAACATTTTATAACTTTATTCTCAGTCTGGCAAAAGCCTGCTTTAGGCCTGTTGCTGTTTCCTCTGGCGTCTGCACACGGCCCTGCAGTCCCTTATATGGGCATTAATGGGCGGTTACTTATGCTAAGTACCTATGCTAATGAAGCACCTGGCACGCGCGCTGTACTTACGAGGGATTCATCAATCTGAGAGAACAGCTGCGAACAATTCAGCGGCTTACGAGTGCGTTGATGAATCCCACGTGGGGACTTCCTAGAAATCTACTTAAGGACAACTTGAGAAGAAAGTTGAGTAGTTTCTTACGTAGTTATTCGTGAATGAGGCCCAATGATCCCAAACACACCGCCCGGGCAACGAAGGAGAGGCTCCGTAAGAAGCATTTGAAGGTCCTGGAGTGGCCTAGCCAGTCTCCTGACCTCCACCCCATTGAAAATCTGTGGAGGGAGTTGAAAGTCCGTGTTCACTGCTCTCGAGAAGATCTGCATGGAGGAATGGGCCAAAATACCAGCTACTGTGTGTGCAAACCTGGTAAAGACCTACAGTAATTGTTTGACCTCTGTTATTGCCAACAAAGGTTATAATACCAAGTATTGAGTTGAATTTTTGTTATTGACCAAATACTTATTTTTCACCATAATTTATAAATAAATTCTTTACAAATCCTACAATGTGAATTCCTGGATTTTCTTTTCACATTCTGTCTCTCACAGTTGAAGTGTACCTATGATGGAAATTACAGACCACTGTCATTATTTTAAGTGGGAGAACTTGCACAATCGGTGGCTGACTAAATACTTTTTTGCCCCTCTGTATATAGTAGTTTATCAGCATGAATGGAGTGAAAGAACAAGGACATGTGAATCCTAAGTGTCCACTTAAACACTCTATAAAACCGATGCATTATTGTCATTATCATCATTAATATTCAAACAACGGAAGCTGCCCAATGCTGGTCCCTTTGCTCCTTCCCCAAATCCCTAATCCATAATTACATCTCATCCCTGTGCTCTTTTGTTCGCAGGTGGCTGTTTGGGAGGACTGTGTGCTCCATGTACGCCTTCTGTGGCATGCTGTTCGGCCTGTGCAGCCTCACCACGCTCACACTGCTCAGCATCGTGTGTTTTGTCAAAGTTTGCTACCCGCACTACGGTGAGACTTCAAACACTCCCTTCGACCGATAAAATGACACCGGATTAAGCACATTTCCCCCAAGTGTCCTATTGTTGGTGCTTCTGTGGAGAGTGGGCTGCGCTGATAATCCTGCAGCCCATTAACCCTGTCTTTGATGGCGGACACAGCCCAACTCAAGGCGCGGTGCGTGTGATGTTGATGGAAGTGGTTCGATATCAGCCTCTTTTTGATCTGATCTGATTCCCCAAACACGATTACGTAAAGCTTTCTTTATAGAACAATAGGGGCCGGCAATCAAGCGGTCGATAGTTCTAATTACTGAGGCACTTCTGAACTAATAATCAGAATGGTGAGAGTTGTCTTTGCAGAGTATGGTATGTGTTTGTGGGGTCTGCTACCGGCCCGTTGCCATAGAGATGTTTTGCTTTACTTGGATTGGTCTTCAGTATGATATAAAACTTGTGTATTGTTACCATTATTTAATGTTTGTTTTTTTATATTAGACCGTCTTGCCTCCCCGCAGATATGACTCAGGCAGGTAAAGATGTAAAATATATTGCCACACTGTGGGGCTTTCCTAGATGGCTCCAAAAAACAGAACCCTCCATGAGAAAAAATTCACTTTTAACAGAATTTACTGACTTTATCAGTAAGTTTTTAAATAAGCTGGTTACATATTAAGGATGATAATAATAATGCATAAGTTATATACAGTATGACGCTGTATTGTGAGTGATATTCTTGTTTGAAGCAAAGAACACATGGGAACTCAGAAGGGCTGCATGACTTTGAAGTGAATGGTTTGGTCCCGGAGTTCGCCTCGGTTTCCTCTGGGTGCTCCGGTTTCCCATACCACTAAAAACATGTACAAATTGTTCAACACAGTAGTGAATTTAGCAAAAAATAAATAACAACGTCAATATTTATCCTGAATATAATCTCACTGCGATTTTGATTCTCTTATGATTAATCTTGCAGTCAATACTTGAAACTGTTTTTAAAGCTGGGTTATCTAACTATCAAACAACAACAACAACAAAACAGAAAAGTGAGTTCTGACCGTGACATACTCTGCCAGGCAACAACAAGAGATCTTTTGAGTATTGTATCCCCTTTTTCAAAATATAACTGAAAGAATTATCATTAAATTTACACAAAGATTACTGGCAGAAGTGAGTTTTGAGAAACACATACTGTATATAGGACACTTTATATACTGGTGTTTCTCTATTAGTTTCTTTCTGAACGTCGAAAACATTGAACCTCTGAAAAGTAGACATTGTCCAGGGAATCTGCTTTAATGTATTGAAAGCACTTAATCTCCCTATACAGCTGTAATGTTATATAATCTTGAGCTTTTTTTAAATTGCGGAGGGGAAAAAAATCTATATTGTAGAAATGCTAAATACATGTTTCTTAACTCGGTGCTGAATCCGTCACTGTTTTTCAAAGAGACCAAACGGATCCACACGACTGTTTGTTTGGGATTTCACCCACAATCCCTGTATTTGTATTTTATCAAAACGTGAAGTACTTTTTTGTTGTATTGTGTCACTCCTAGTATTATGCCATGTAAATCTAACTATTGACTACATTATTCAAAACCAGTGTTAGTATTTTCAGTTACTATTGTATTTTCAGTTTCAAGATATTCCACGATATCGATGATGATGGTAGTGCATTTTTTCTAAATATATAATTTCTAGAGCTTGTTCGCACCAATGATATTGTTGTCTTTGTTATAATGCAAAGTGATACATCTCACATCGAGTTCTTGCTGTTTGTTTTGGTCCCAGTCTGGTCTTGGTTCCAGTCTGGGTCTGGTCTTGGGTCTGTTCTTGGGTCTGGTCTCGGGTCTATTCTCGAGGTCTGGTCCTGGTTCTGGTCTCGAGTCTGGTCTCGTGTCTGGAATTGTGTCAGGTCTCGGGTCTTGTCTTGGGTCTGGTCTCGAGTCTGGTCTGAGGTCTGGTTCCTGGTCTGGTCTTGAGTCTGGTCTTGGGCCTGGTCTCGGTCCTGGTCTCAGGTCTGGTCTCGGGGTCTGGCCCTGGGTCTGGTCTTGGGTCTGGTCTCGGGTCTGGTCTCGGGTCTGGTCTCCGGTCTAGTCTCGGGTCTGGTCTTGGGTCTGGATTTGTTAAAGTGTAAAAGTTATGTGATGATCATTGTAATAAACCACACCCTGGTCTCCTAGGAAACCGCTTCAAAGCTCTCCACGGCGGCCTCCTCATCGGCCTGGCCTGGCTGTACGCTCTGCTCTTTGCCACCGCCCCCCTTCTCCACTGGGGGGAGTACGGTCCAGAACCCTACGGCACGGCCTGCTGCATCGACTGGCGCCTTTCCAACCTGCTGCCCGTGGCCCGCTCCTACACCGTGGCGCTCTTCCTCCTCTGCTTCATCCTGCCCTGTGCTCTGATCATGGCCTCGTACTCCTGCATCCTCATCACCGTGCAGGCGTCCAGGAAGACCATGGAGCAGCACACGCACAGGCAGACGCACATGAGCAGCATCCAGGCCATCATCGTCAAGGTGAGAGGGAGGCTGAGATCAAGCCAGGAGTTAACCCACGTATAGCATCCTCGGCTAAACATATGCAACATGAAGGTTATGGCTAAACAAGTAGGACATTTTGGTTTAATGCATTTACTAATGCAGTACAGACCAAAAGTTTGGACACACTTTCTCATTCAATGAGTTTCCTTTCTTTTCATGACTATTGACTGTAGATTCACACCCAGGCTGTGTAAGGGCTGTTTGACCAATAAGGAGAGAGGTGGGTGCTGGGCCAGACGACCTGGCCTCCACAGTCACCGGACCTGAACCCAATCCAGATGGTTTTGGGGTGAGCTGGACCACAGAGTGAAGGCGAAAGGGCCAACAAGTGCTAAGCATCTCTGGGAACTCCTTCAAGACTGTTGGAAGACCATTTGAAGTCACTACATCTTGAAGCTCATCAAGAGAATGCCAAGAATGTGCGAAGCCGAGATCAGAACAAAAGGTGCTACTTTGAAGAACCTAAAATATAATACATATTTTCAGTAATTTCATACTTTTTTTTAGGTACGTACATAATTCCACATGAGTTAAATCATAGTTTTGATGCCTTCAGTGTGAATCTACAATTTTAATAATCATGAAAATAAAAAAACTCTTTGAATGAGAAGGTGTGTCCAAACTTTGGTCTGTACTGTATATGCACCCAAGAAGCCAAAGAAGCAAATATGCTACGTTGCTAAATTTGGTCATTGAATGCTGCTCTTCAAAAATAGCACTGATAATTATTTTCACCAAATATTTATTTTTAATTTCTGGGTTCTATGGGGTTAACAGAAATAGAGTTTTGCATCTAAATCTTGTATATGTGTCCCCAGGAAATAGGTCAATGTGTATTAATCACCTGACAGAGTTTTGATACATGTTATTTGACATGCACGGCTTTTTCGAAGTATATTTTCCATTTTAGACATTTTTCAAAGATCAAGGACTTTTCAATGTAGTGTGAAATGGATGACAACAACCAACAACAAAAGAACAAAAGAATAGAAATGAGTTGCAGGATGATTTTGAATTGGCCACAACCCTTTTCTACAGGCCATCTAAAAAAAGGCAAAATTGTCTTGAAAAATAATATATTGAAAGAAATAGTAAGAAATGTGCACAAACATAATGCTAGTTTCTATCATTATCATAGTTATATAGTTTAGTTATTATGCTAGTTATTATAAAATATTTAATAGGAATATTTTGTAGATATATTTTGTTTCTGTCTTCCAGCTCAGTGTTGCCGCATGCATCGGCTTCCTCACGGCGTGGAGCCCGTACGCCATCGTCTCTATGTGGGCCGCCTTCGGACAAGTGGACAGCATCCCTCCTCTGGCCTTTGCTCTCCCCGCCATGTTCGCCAAATCCTCCACCATCTACAACCCCGTCATTTACCTCTTGCTCCGGCCCAACTTCCGCAAAGTGATGCGCAGGGACCTGAGAACTCTGTACCGCGGCTGTCTGCACGGCTGCCTCTGCGTCCGGCCTGAGATGGGAGTACCCGCCATTCACCGGGAGAGCCCCACGGTGGACCCGGCTGCTGGTCCTCAGGGGGTGGGTGTGAAGGACCACAGCAGTAAGAAGTGCAGCGACGCTTTTGAATGCTTCAGGCACTACCCCCAGACCTGCAGCGCCATCGACCCAGGGAAGGACCACGACTCTCCGGCTCCTCGTGGCGGCAAAGCTCAGGGCCGTAGGAAGTGTCTGCTGTCCGTCATGTGCGGCAAAAGGAGCTCTGAGATAGACAACCTGCACATTGATCTGGAGATGGTGCCGGGGCAGGCTAAGGTCGCTTGGCCTTGACTTTTGTTTTATTAATTGAAAATGCAACTACGGAAATATATTTTAAAAACTTGATTGGGTTAATTATGTAAAATTGATAATAATGCATCGGTTTTGTATATAACGCTTTTCAGGACACTCAAAGACGCTTCACTTGTCATTATTCATTCTCTCCATACACGGCGGTGATAAACTACTACTGTAGCCACAGCTGCCCTGAGGCACACTGACAGAACCGAGGCAACCAGTATGTGACATCAACCTCTTCAATCACCACCAGCCATTCGCACACTCCGTACTCCTTCCAGGCAGTGTGGGTGAAGTGGATACAACAACAGCTGGAGTCGTCCCACTGCGGCACGTGGTGTTCCCAGAGGTCTCCCATCACAAGACTAACCAGGTCCTGCCCTGCGTAGCTTCAGTGGTCTGAGTGGATCTGGCTTTCACACGCAGGTATGGCCACAGTTGTGTATACAGTATGTGTTTTCGTGAGGTAGAACTTATCTCAGTCACAGTCCCAGTAAAGTACAATCAGGAAAAGAAAATGCATTACATGATTTATTAATTTATGTGGCACTTGGTCTGTGAAGATCGTTGCTCTCTTGTCTCTGGTCCTGGTCTCTGATCCTGGTCTCTGATCCTGGTCTCTGGTCTCTGATGCTTACGTTCCCCCCGAGGCCTAGGTACAGGTTGTGGCATAAGGACAAAGCTAGGATGAGAAGACCGTGGAGGTTGTGAGACTTAGAGAAGAGACGGTTGGCAGCGCTGTGTGATAGGCTGAGGGTGAAAGGGGCCGGCTTGGATGGGAGGGGCTGCAGCGGGTAGCCTACCAGACTGAATTTTCTCAGGCTGCATATCTCCATGGGGAAAGGGTTAGGATTCCTGAAAAACAAAGTTGCGACTTGTTATTTCCATAGAATCGGGTACCTGGCTCCAGAACTACTGATAAAGGTGATCTATGTGCTTTTTCCGGTGCAGGTATATGGCGTTAATGAATCCCTGTAAAAACACCATTTGTAAGCTTTTCACAGATAAATTGTGTCGATTGGGAAGTCACCTCGGTCTCATTAACATCTTATTTCGTGGAAAATACCTCTTTAAGTCGAGAGGAGAGACACTTTTGCACGATTTACCTTGAAGACATTACAGAATGAACTGTATGTAGAGAAAAGGAGACAAAGAGAGAAAATCTACTTATCTAATCTACTTATGCAGCATCATTTTTATTTTTTGACAACTATATTTTTACAGAAAGTATATTTTTTGTGTGTACAGAATTACAACTCTTCGTGCACAACTTTTAAGAGGCATATTTTATGAACAATTGTGAAGTTTTCTTTGACCAGCAAGAGGAATTATGCCAAAGTCTAATTGTAAATGCAGATGTAATCGTCTAACAAACGCGGGTTCACATCATGGTGCTTAATCTCCATGAGCACTGTTTTATCTGTTGTCATTTGTTCAGTTAAAGGAGAATGATCTTTTATTTTATTATCCCCACAGAAAACAACAGGGGTTATCGTCTGTGTAACTTATTGTTATGTGTAAAGGAATAAACTCTTATGTCCGAATCTTTTGCCTCCTGTTTCCATCTTCCTCGATACTTCATCTATAGCTTATCTGGAACCACACATTGAATATTGAGGATTATAATGGTAATCCTTTAGAAAGAAACATAACAGAAAAAACCCCACAAATCTCACAAACAAATGGAATGGATTGTATCGTCTTGACACATGGGGCTTAAGTCGTGCTTAACTCCAATCATGTTTGTTTAAATAAGCAGCAAAAACACGCACAGGCTTTAGATTTCTGACTGAGACACACGGCGACTCCTCATCAGATCTTGTGGCGTTCAATGACGGCATGTTTTGCATAGAAATCAGATGCTTCTCACCCATGTTCGTTTCTATTCTTTGTGGTTTTTTACTATTCTAAAGCATTTACTGTAAGTGTTAATATCTGGGCACTCTATCTTTTGGCAGCGGTAATATCAGACCCAGACGTACATGTGAGAAATGATAATTGACCGAAGTTTACGGAGGCCAGGCTGCAGTACAGGTGACTTAAAAAGCAGAATGAACTGTTTTGTTTTTTGTCCCTTGTGTATAATACCTACTGTATAACTTGACAAATAAACTAGAAATGAACTAGAGAAGCACTTGTGAATCGACCTCTTGGCATTCCTTTAAAAGAAATTGTGCATCGGATCACGTTTCCAGAATTTTGTCCTATTCCTCCCATAACATTTGGAGTTACGTTGCTGACAGACAAACGGTAGTGATGACATAACCTCCTGAGCGAAGGTGAAAGATATTGTTTGGTTTCTTGTTGGATTGTAAAAGTAGCAAATACTAAAAATTGCTTGTCCTATGGAAAGGTTTTCTTTTAGCCTAAACTGTATGTTTAGTCTTGACAATTAGATGATTCCAGACTCTGTTAATCTGCACTACATGGCAAAGACAATATAGATCCTTCTCAATTATTTCAATCAAATATCTTGTATAGTACCGTCGGATGCAATGTAAATCTAAATATCCGTAAAATACTTTTTATTTTCAAGAAATAACATTTATACAATCACAAGACAGTTCTTATTCTGCCAACTGTACCCTGATTCTTGCACATTACCAATATTGAGAGAAATCTTAACGGAACTTTGATCAATACATGCAGGAGAAACTCAGAAACGTATAGAATATTGGTCAAAAGTTCATCTGTTTCGGTAATTCCAAGCATTTGCCAAGCCTTTATTTGTTATAAAGTGACGATAATGGATAACACTCTATTTGTAATATATTCTGAGATGTCTTATTGGGTATTTTTACAAACTGAGCCAAAACTATCAACAGAGGCTTTCTATATCTCACTTTGCGTGTAATGACTCAATGAATCACGGCTTACTCTCACATTATAAATTGAATTACAAAACCCGATTGACTTTTCAACAATTCCTGAGTTTCTCCATCTGCGAACAGTACATGGTCGTTCTCAAAGCTTGTTTTTTTAATCCCGGTGAAAAGTTCATGGTGACAGTTCACAAGTGTCTAGTATTTTCTGGATCACGTCTAAGGGGACTTTTCCCTCCACGGCTCGACAAAGCTTGCCTATGGTGCACCCGAGCCTCCCCTCCTTCATCTTCCACTTCTCCAGCATCTGGTGGACCATCTCGGGCAGTCCGTAGCGGTAGGAGTCCAGCTCGATGGTCTCGATCTCCACGTCGGTCAGGCACAACCTTCGCGCGCAACGCTTCCAATTGGCTCCAATGTTTTCTTTCAGCAGCTCCAAGTGTTCCTCCGTCACTGGACAGTCCTCTGTAAGAAGCAAGATCAGAATCAGATTAATTTGCAGTAAAACCACATTGGAGTACACTTTCAAAAGTCATAATTAAAACAGGGTTAAAAGTACGACCATTTCCCCCATCTAGCAACCTAGGTAAAAAAAAAAATATTTTCATTTATGCATTTTTATGTATTCTTACTTTGGCTTATTTTGGTGCACAGGGGAAACACAGGGAGAAGGGAAAATAGAATAAAAATATTAGATAAATAAGAGAATCAATGTTGTGTACATGATATGAGGATGATGATATCATTTATTTATGGTTTTATTTATTAATTCACCCTTTATACACAGCTGAACATAACTATAAAATACACTTGGTCAGCTTGGAGACAAAATGGGGAGGGGAGAGATATTGGGAGACGGGTAGTAGTAGCAAATATATATATATGGGGGCGACAGTAGCTCAGTTGGTAGAGCATTGGCCTTTGAGCCTGAAGGTTGTGGGTTCGAGCCCACCGTAAGACCTACTTCACGACTCCCACTGATGACTGCTGTCGTTGTGTCCTTGGGCAAGACACTTAACCCTACTTTGCCCAAAGCCCCAACTGAAAGATCTCAGCTCCTGTGGACTCACCACCTGCAGGAGGATCAGTGAGGGACTGGTGCTCTGTGGACTGGGTGCAGCTCTGACTGCCACCCCCCCAACCCAGAAATGGATTAAGGGGAAGAAAATGGATGGATGGATGGATGGATATAAAATATTATATGCTATATGTTGTCAATAACTGTCATTAACTGAATTTAATTTTGTGTAAATAAATAAAAGGAAAAAAAGATGACAAAAAAGTGCAGAAAATTATCACTTGTTTAATTTAGTCAATTGTTTAACTAAACAGCATCAATAACCAAAGCTTTGTTTAAACTCATAACAGCTGTTCACAAAACCAAATGTTCTGCATCTCAACCAACAAAATCTTCTGCCAGAGGGAAGAAGCTGGAACAGGGCTTTTTTCCCAGAATGGCCAGAAGAGTCATTGATTATTTGAAGAGCTCGGTTTAAGAGTCTGGATTCATAAAGAACCTCCAGAACAGGCAGCTCACAGTCCTCTTTGCTAGAGTTGGTGTGTTTACGGAAAAAAATCAACATATACGCATTCGGCTAGCAAATACTACATGTGCGCTGCTCTTGCTAGCACCACAAAGGCAGCCAGCGCAAATTGTTATAGAATACTAGCCTCTATGTTGGAAGTTGTGAAATTACCATATTTCAGAATGGCTTCTTTGATTGGTGTGCCCGTCGCGCCGTTGTTCAGAGTCAATAAACTAGGGTCGTAACCGCGGATATTGAGCGTGTTGTGGCTGCCAATTTGGATCCCGCTCGCGTTCTGGATGAAGAGAGAGCCTGGAGGAAAACAAAAGCTCGTCAGGAGAAGCTGCTCGGAATTGAAATCTGGTAAAGTAAAGTGAGCCTGGAGCGATTACAGCATGCACACCCGTATTCATGTAAGAACTGGCCCTTTTTTATGGAGTGTCTAATGCAATTTAATGAACTGGAAAATCAATTAAGACCACCACGGTTTCAAAAAAAGTACATCTAATTGCGTGTGTGTGTGTGTGTTTTTTGTGCGGCTCAAAACAGTTGAGGTTTTGAGTTGGCTTTGAATGCAGAGACTGGCTGAAAATGGCAATACAAATATTCCTGTAATTGTTTTGGTCTAATGTTGGTTGTATTTATTTTCTCATAAGCTATGAGACCATGTTTCTGCTGAACACTAGGACTCAGAGAATTATGAAACTACTACAACAAAAAAAGTAAAATTTTGTTACAGTTTTTTTTTTCTCTTAAAGCTTAACTCACCTTAACTTATTGTTAGCTAACTTGAAAGGCAGCAAAAACAGTTGTTGAAAAGGCTATCAATGCTATGCTATCTATGCTAACTGCTGGCATGTAGACAGTGTGTTGCTATGGTAACTAACTGCTCAAGTTTCAAAAATAAAAGAAATTTAAGTACAAAAATGGTGGACAAATAAACTACATATATGAACAGAACAGGTCACAAAGTTATGAAGACCAAACATGTACACACGCTGAGTAATTACACTTCCAAAATCAAAAGCCGTCATATTGACTGCTGTTAGAGTCAGTGCTCTGGGGTTCTAGTGTTTAGGGGCAGAGCACAGAGCGATACAGCAGGACTCTTTCAACTACCATTGTTTTATAGCAGCCAGAAGCATGTCACGTCTTCTTTAATATACAACACAGGGATTCAATGTTTATCCAAGAAGTCAATGATCAAAAATCACAAAAGAATTGACAAACCTGGATCCTGAAGCGAAGCGCCTTTCGAAGACGGCAACAGTCTTCCAGGGTTCAAGTCGGGAGCGGCGCTGTCCGAAACCGGGAAAAACGGACAGGACTGCTGCCGATCGATGGGCGACGGGTTCAGGGCGGACAGCGAAGGCGAGCTGGTGGACGTGGTCATGGAGTCGTAGCCTGCGGACGGGCGACACCACTCGTCTTCTTTGGTCCAGGACTGCACCGACGAGAGCTTCTCCTGCTCTGGAAGTCTGGTGGGGCAGTCTGAGGATCGCGATGGTGGGTAGAGGATCGGGTTGTTGTTGTTGTTGTGGTGGTAACCGTTGGAGACGTCAGACTCGCAGTTGTAGCTTCCGTGTTTGTGGTACTGAAGCTCGCGGGCTAGCTTGTCCTCTAAGTGCGAAGGGGTGTCGGGAATGCAGGAGTCGGTCTCTATATCGTTCTCCACTGACTCCGAGTGGATTTTGTGGAGGTCTTCGATGCTGGCTTCCACTGGGACCGGCACACTGCGGTCTGAGCTCAGCAGAGGGCCTGGGGAATCTGGAAAGGAGGGTTGATAAGTAAGTGTTGCTTTGTGTGGGAAAGGCGCTCTACAAATAAAAGTTGATTGATTGAAGTATTTGAGTCTGTTTTGAGTGTATTAACTGACTGTACTCTGAGGCTAATCCAATGAGTCTGCCGTGTGTGCGTAAAAGGTTTGCATAAGTACATTTTTAAAATATATTTGCGTCCTGGACCTGTGTGTGGGTGTGTGTGCGTGTTTAGATTTGTTTTTGATATTAAAGAATACATTTGAAACAAAAAAATTATAAAAGAATCTACTCCAAATAGTTCGGATCTTGGATGTTCGGCCTCTGTAACATCCATCTTTAGATTTGCATTTTCAGAGAGAAAATTTAAAAAGAGTGGACCAAAAAGATAAAATAATAACGTACTGTTCTGATTAATTTTATTGTAACAGAATCAATGTTTTCTGTTGTAACAAACAAAATGTACTTATGATAAAAAAGACTATTTTCCTCATATGTTCATGTTTAGATTGCAATTAAAAGGGACAGTATGTCATATGTACTCTTCGTGGTCTAATCCTGGTCTAATTCCCCACTGTGGGATAAACAAAGGTCCTCTTATCTTATCATGTGGAACTCATGATGAAATAATTCTGATTTAGACCCTTTAATAGTGTTCCCACCTGTTAGAAAGCGTCCATGTGACAGGGAGATGCATTTCATCTTTTCTACAAGCTCCTCTGGACCTTCATACTGTTTCTAAATCAAATAGAAATCAGTCACGAGTACAGAGTATCAAAAGACAACACACATAAAAAGGTGAAAACATACTTTAACATCCACAATGTCATTCTCCACATGTTTTTCAAAGTATTGTTCATAGATGGGCCCGAAGATCTCATAGGCCTCTGCGCAGTAAGAAAACTGTTCATGGAAATGGTCACGAGCAAGAATCATAAAACTATGATAAAACTCAAAATAGTGAACCATTGAATGTGGGTCGCTGGAGCGGGTCAGGATCCCAGCACCTCCTCATCAGCTGAACGATCTGTGGTGGGACGTCCTGCGGGATGAGGTCCTCTGCCGGACGGTTACCATTACGGACGCACTGGCTGAGATGGTCTTCACTTCTGGCATCTGTCCAAAAAATATCAATCTCATGAATGTTTTTATTCAGTGTATCACAACCATTAGTTTTACGTGGTGGAAAAATCTATCTGTCATGGTGTGGATTTTGTGTTTTTTACTTTATTTTGACTTATTTTCCCGTCACCTGTGTCTGTCTGTACCATGTGCTCATCCCCATGTGTTGCTGGTCCATTGTCTATGTCATTGTCTGTCCATATTTGTCTATGTGTGTCTGTGTGTGTCCATGTTTGTCTATGTGTGTCTATGTGTGTCTATGGGTGTCCATGTTTGTCCATGTTTGTCTATGTTTGTCTATGTGTGTCTATGTGTGTCTATGTGTGTCTGTGTGTGTCCATGTTTGTCTATGTTTGTCTATGTGTGTCTATGTGTGTCTATGTGTGTCTGTGTGTGTCCATGTTTGTCTATGTTTTGTCTATGTGTGTCTATGTGTGTCTATGTGTGTCTGTGTGTGTCCATGTTTGTCTATGTTTGTCTATGTGTGTCTATGTGTGTCTATGTGTGTCTGTGTGTGTCCATGTTTGTCTATGTTTGTCTATGTGTGTCTATGTGTGTCTATGTGTGTCTGTGTGTGTCCATGTTTGTCTATGTTTGTCTATGTGTGTCTATGTGTGTCTATGTGTGTCTATGTGTGTCTGTGTGTGTCCATGTTTGTCTATGTGTGTCTATGGGTGTCTATGGGTGTCTATGGGTGTCTGTGTGTGTCCATGTTTGTCTATGTTTGTCTATGTGTGTCTATGTGTGTCTATGTGTGTCTATGTGTGTCTGTGTGTGTCCATGTTTGTCCATGTTTGTCTATGTGTGTCTATGTGTGTCTATGTGTGTCTATGTGTGTCTGTGTGTGTCCATGTTTGTCTATGTGTGTCTATGGGTGTCTATGGGTGTCTATGGGTGTCTATGTGTGTCTGTGTGTGTCCATGTTTGTCTATGTTTGTCTATGTGTGTCTATGTGTGTCTGTGTGTGTCCATGTTTGTCTCTGTTTGTCTATGTGTGTCTATGTGTGTCTGTGTGTGTCCATGTTTGTCTATGTTTGTCTATGTGTGTCTGTGTGTGTCTATGTGTGTCTGTGTGTGTCCATGTTTGTCTATGTTTGTCTATGTGTGTCTACGTGTGTCTGTGTGTGTCCATGTTTGTCTATGTGTGACAATGTGTGTCTATGTGTGTCTGTGTGTGTCCATGTTTGTCTATGTGTGTCTATGTGTGACAATGTGTGACAATGTGTGTCTATGTGTGTCCATGTTTGTCTATGTGTGTCTATGTGTGTCTATGTGTGTCCATGTTTGTCTATGTGTGTCTATGTGTGTCTATGTGTGTCCATGTTTGTCTATGTGTGTCTATGTGTCTCTGCTTTCCTGGTTCTTTTTTCCAGACACATTTTTTTTTATATTGTGGGAAAACGTCCTTAAACCCTAAAAGTAGTCAAGTTTCATGTGTTTTCAAATAGTAACAGAATTGACCAGATGCCTTTAGTCTCAAAAAATCGATACAAAATATTTCATAGCGGGCCGATAAAAATAAACCTAAAATGGCTGAACAGAAAAAGCCAATTTCGTGGCCTCTAACTCTCCCTGTTGGGACAAAGAAAAGGAAAAGCTGGATGTTTGGTTTGGTGGAGAGGCGAGTGGTTTCGAGTTGGGGCTACGGCTAAGCTAACAACACCGCTTACTGCACCTTTAATTTCGGTTGGATTTTTGGTTCTATTCATTTCCTTCATTAAATTACATTTTTTTGCATTCCTGCATTTTGGGTCCTCCATTTCACTATGGACAATATTCACCATAGTGAAATATTATGGGCTATTTTTCAAAATGTGAAGAATTGTGGTTAGAACTGCCCATGCTCACCCCTGATTGGTCGAACTAAAATAAAAATCTGTTAAGTCTCTCGCCATTGGTTTAACTATTCTCCTCAGCAAATCTTTCTGGTGGAAGTTATGCCAAGGAGAGGGACTATATTAATTTAAGCATATTATTGTTAAAAAATACATATTCATTATTTAAAAAACCTTCCTTTTACTAAGCACTGACAAATCAAAGTAGTTGTAAAGTGTCTTTTGAAAATGCTTTGATATAAAAAGGATTTAAAAATGGAGCAGTTTCAGTGTTATTTCAAGCTTTTCCCTCATCACATGTTATTCTTGTTTCATTGGCAATTCATGTTATTTAGAAAGACCAAATACATGTACTCAAATGCGCTTTATCAATAAAGATGGCTTACTTCAAAACCACATTAATTCTCTTTTTATCTTTACCATTATAGGTATTTTTTGCAGTGGCATTACATATACTAAATTATTCATTCACTTGGCCATGATAGATGGAAAGAAATTGAAACTATCCATCACTAAACATTTGAATGATTTTATAACATAATTCTTTCTCTTTCTTCAAGCACTTTTTGAACCTCTCTTTGCAGTGTGATTTGATGCAGGGATGTGTTTTTTTCTCGTACTTGCATAAGGCTCTTCTCCCGTGAGAATGACCCAGACCACGATGGCAAAGCTGTAGACGTCCGACTTCTCTGTGGAGGGGGTGTGGATACTCTCCAGGTGCTCCGGGGCCATGTAGCTGAGAGTGCCGGCCCCTCGAGCGCCACCCGAACGCCCCATCTGGCTCTTCCGCCGAGACTCCTCCTTTGTCAGCCGGCTCCACGTCTGACATTTGGCAAGACCCAAATCTGCAATCTGCAATCAAAGACATCGTACCATAAATATGTACAATACACAAATACTCCAACAAGCTCCTTATTCCCCACCACCCGATCACATCAACCAGTTTTTCAAAATATATACAGCATTTTGTTAAGATATTTGGACTTTTGGTCGTTTGTATGAATGTTTTTGTTTTGTTTTTTTAGTATTTTACATGTTTGTATTTTAACTCATTGACGCCCACCGTTTTTAATGATTTCACTGATTTTCAAGACCCACAGAATATTATGTGCTGTGACTATGTGAGATATGAAACCAGATTCTGAAAGATCGGACTGTCTACTTTCATCTGCAAAAATATGTTGGGGTTTTTTACCTAGTTTTCTTCTCCTGTAATCCCCTGTCGAGTAGAGGGAAGTTTGACAGAAATCACCGGTCTTAGACAAATACGTCAATGGCAGTCAATGAGTTAGTAGTAATCAATAATAATAATATATATATTACAAATTAAACATAGAAGCATAAATAATGTTATAATTTAGAAAAAATGGGGCATGGCATTAGAAAGTGGACTGAATATTATTATTATTTAGACTTGCATGAAATAAAATCTACATAATATCCATGGGTCGGGGGGGTGACAGTCTGAGCTGAGGATACATAATAATAATTGTTTCATTAGAAATATATAATATCCATTCGTGTCGAGATGATTTTGTATCGTTTTTTCTTCTTGCCGGTTGACTTACCTTGATGTGAAAGTCTTTGTCGACTAAAATATTTTCCGGCTTAACGTCTTTATGTAGAATGTTCCTCTCCGTTAAATACACCATCCCCTCCAGGATTTCTAAGATGATTCTGGCCTTCAGGGACATGGGGAGTTCAACCTAAGAGAAGCAACACATCTGACAATAACAAAGGCTTTTCAGGCGTGACCTGTGATTGGCTGAAATCTACCGTCTCGATCATGACCAGCAGGTTTCCTCTGGGCATCAGCTCCATGACCAGAGAGCAGTCCTGGTCCTCCATGATGACCCCCAGCAGCCGGACCACTCGCTCGTGGTTCAGACTCGCCATGATGTTCCCCTCCTCCAGAAGTGACCGCTTTTTGTCTCTGGGAAGAAAACAGACAGGTCCAGTTTGTGTGTGTTAAGAAAAATATTAGCATGACTTATGAGAGGTAAACAAGAAAAACAAGAAATCAAGTCCTGGATCTGCAACTTGTCCATCCGTGGGGGCGGATCTCTGCCTAAATGTGGCCGTCCCAGAGGTTCCTCCATTTTTTCCCACTGGGTTGTTTTTAGTTGTTCCTTGCTGATGCAGAAGGGTCTAAGGCAGGCATGTCAAACTCAGGCTCGTGGGCCAAATCCAGCCCACAAGACCCTCTTTAGTGGCTCCTAAGATGATTTTCCATTATTAATAGTACCTCACAGCATTGATGGTGATGATCTATCGGAACGGGTCTTTCTGAGTGGAGTTTGCATATTCTCCTTGCGCTTGCGTAGGTTTTCCGGTTTCCCCTACCACTAAAAACATGCACGCTAGGTTAAATCCTCCAGCTCTGGTAGTCTGGTAGCACCAAAAGGAGATGGGTTCCCGGGCGCTGTTACTACGGCGACAACAGCTCCTGACGTAAGGATGGGTCAAATGCAGAGGATGAATTGCCCTACGGGGATCAATAAAGTGCACCTTAAAGGAACAAACGTTATATTTGGTCCAATAAGCACATTAAGTTTTCAGAAAAATCAACCAGAATATAATATTGAAACTCATGTCACATAAAGTCATGTCAAAATACTTTCATCATGTAAAAATCGCTTAGAAGAAAAGGAAATTGCTTCTAATCTTTTGGCCCCCACCAGTTCCTACTTTTTCATTTGGCCCTGACCATAGTGAGTTTGACATCTCTGGTCTAAGGACAGCAGAGATGATCCAGGACATTTAAGGACATTTATGCACATTGATCATCCCGCTCCCTGTGAACCAATGGCTCTACATGTTTTTTTATCTTTGCATTTCCTGTGATTGAATTATTTTATTATCTGATCTGTGTTGGCAAATTGACAACTTTGTAAAGTCCTCTGAAATAACTACAATTGTGATATGGCGCTATATACACAAATGAATTGCATTGAATTGTACCGTGCCTTGCTAAAGATAAATTCAGATACAGGTTTTTTTGTTTTATTGATAGAGTCTACAAAATGATTGATGGGATAAGCATCAACTTTATTTTAATTATTTACGGATTATGGTAAGAAGAATAACACCTTTTTATTTGTGACTGCTTGCTTTATCAGAAGCAGAGAAAACTTAGAGAAGTAAAAACATAAATTTAAACTTCTTCCAGCTTAAGCATAAAAGCCAAATTGTATTTCTTTCTTGTTACATTTTTGGAGAGTATTAATGAGAATGCAAAAACCTTTTTTTCCATGTTAGTGATTGTGGGTTCTTTATAATAATGACAACAGAATGACTCTTCTGACGCTGATTAGAAGTTTCCATCCCCGGGTTCTCAATAACATGCCCCCCCCCACCCCCTGTTTAATGTCTATGACCGCTTTTGTGGTATGAGGTTCTTTATCCACTCCGATGGTAAAGCCTGCACTTCCTGGGCTGCCTTGCAACTGCATGTTTAAGATCGGCTGCATGTAATAAACCAAAACAAAGTTGACAAAAGGATTACATCCTAATCACACCATTACACCCAACCACACAATGTTTACAACAAAAAACTACTACACAATTACTATAAAGATCAAAAACATATTAAAAAGTCAGAGTAAAAAAGAAAAGAACTTGCTGCACTGCAAATACTACAAAAGATAAGAGTAGAAGAAAGGTAAAATGAGTCACACGCTGCAAAAAGTGGGAAAAATAAGTCAAAAATCTTAAAACGAGATTTGCCAATGAGATTTGTCAAGCTAAATTATCTTGATTAAAAAAGATACAAGAAATGTCTCCCTTGAAATGAGAAATTTTAAGCAATAGTTTTTAAATAAAACTAAATTGCTTTGTCCCATTGGAAAATCTTGTTTTAAGACAGTCAGAAAGTACTCAAAACATGTATTTAAATCAATATTTAAAATAAAAAATAACACCAAGCAATTATTATATTTTATCATTTTTTGGCAGTGCAAGTGCAGATTGACACTCAATAAAAGTTTGGATTGGATGTGCAGAAAAAGAAAATCTGAGAAAACCATGGATCTATAATAAAAAAAATTGCAATTAGGAGAAGTTTTACAGAGGTCCGTGAAGTAGCCCTGGCCTGCGCATGATTCAAGTTACAATCTGAAAGGGGAAAACCCACCCATACACTGAGTACACAAGCAAAAACAAATATCACCGCAGACTCTTACTCGTTCCGCATTGGCCCAGTGTACATGGTTTTCAGCACCACTTGTCCCAGTGTCACATGGTAGCACAGGTACACCTCCCCGAAGCCCCCGTAGTCCAGAGGTTCCCGGACAATGAGGTCTGACGGACGCATATGGAGCGAGGTGTGGGGCGGAGGCGCAGAGGCCATCCCCGACCGATTCTGCAAAAAAAAGTTGAAATTTTGAAATAACATAACAGACACGATTAATTTAGGACAATAGAGGATGTTATGAAAAGTGACAAACGACAATCAAAGAAGAAACCGTACCAAAAGTGGGTGAAAAACTGCGCGTAAAGTCCTGAAAAGTTAAGATTACAACAGTGTATATGAGTGCGTTCACCTTTTCTCCACAACGAGGGATAGAAAAACGTCCCAGTGTTGACAATAAGTGGATGTTCAAGTTTATAACACAGGAACAAGGCGCACTGTGTAAAAGGCAGGCTGTGTGCGCTCCCTCTGTAGTTCCGGGGTTTCCTCAACGCCTTCCTCAAAAGTGAAACCCGTGCTGAAACCGGATTTAGAAAAAGAAACTACAACCAGGCGAGCGAGTGGATAACAGATCTGAGCTCACTGATCCCAGGGGAACTGTTAAAGGTTTATAAAGGAGGATTTTCCCACATTTTAGGAAAGAACCGCCCTCTTCCCTTTTTGAGCCAAACTCTCTGGTCTTATTTGACGGGCACGTATCATCAGAATGATTGACAATCAAGAGGACCAATAGTCTTGATGATCCACCCGGAAGTAGAAAATCGTCCTATATATACCATTTGAGTCAAGTTTAATTGTATAGGACCGATATCACATACAAGGCAACTCCATGTGTAATAAAAAAGAAAATAAACATTAAAATCATAAATGATCACAGTACATTAAAAAAGAGTGAAGATACAATACAAACCAGTTTTATGCACAGATATGCTTTTTTCTTTTTCTTTTTTTTTTTACCTGGAGTCAGTCATGATTAAAGTAGAAGCCTGTCTCACAATTTTTGGAAGAATCTTCCGGATTTTAGCTGCGAATCTGAAATGCTGCCTCCCAATGTTTAGTCCTGACTATGGGCAATAGCTTATCTTTAATACATGTTAAAACTGGTTAATATAAATGACATAAAGCAAAACTATACCTATTGCTTCTTTGCATTATGGTAACTAGCACTTTATCCAGATTGCTCTGAACCAGAGTAGGTCCATGTCTAGGATCTAACTATTATATATTATATTACATATTATATTTTGACTGGTATTGAAGCATTTTCAGTTATGTTAGCTAAGAAACATAGCTACTACTTATTTGTATATATTGTGTGTGCTCCCTGTGTGCTCTTACTACTGTCCTATATGTGCGCTGCAACAACGAAATTTCCCCACTGTGGGACGAATAAAGGAATTCTTATCTTAACTATATTACTATATTATACAGAAAAAGTCACAATGAAGACAGTTTTGAAAACGTGCATAAGTGGAGTAATTACACTTCCAAAACGATAAGACGTCAAATAGACTGCTCTGGGACTTCTAGTGTTACTTACAGCACAATGCAGTATATAAGAGCAGCCGTGACGTGTGGCTGCACCGCCGCCTGGTGGTGAAAAAATAAATAAAACGTTTGTAATTCATGCAATATTTATTTCTTTCTACTGTATGTTTTCACCGCTGTGGGTTCATTCAAAGTCTTTATGTGAAATAAAGCGGGAAAGTACCCGGTGCGTGTGCGTGGGCCGCGGATACTCACGCACACAGATACAGCTACAGTGTATCCTTCATTCACAATAAAAGCCACATCAAAGTCGCATCGGTCTGTGCAGTTACCGGTGTCAGCGTTTTATTCTGGTAAGTACTCTGCAGTATGTTGTTGCTGCTTCAATGAGAACAACCTGCTGACACGTTAACAGCACACATTCAGCAGCCTGTCCACTTTTACTGGGATAGAATTCCAACAAACACGTGTTAGAGACAGGTGAGGGAAGGAAGGGACCGCAGACCAAAACATAACATTGGCTCTTATCCACTAAACAGTAATCAGTGGATAACAAAATAACCACACTACTACTACTACTACTACTATACTACTACTACTACTACTACTATTACTACTACTGCTACTACTACTGCTACTACTACTATACTACTACTACTACTACTGCTACTATTACTACTGCTACTACTACTACTACTATACTACAACTACTACTACTACTACTGCTACTTCTACTACCACTACTACTATACTACTACTACTACTACTACTACCATACTACTACTACTTCTACCATACTACTACTACTATTATACTTCTACTATTACTACTACTACTACTACACTAATACTACTATACTACTACTATTATACTTCTACTATTACTACTACTACTACTATACCACTACTACTACTACAACTATACTACTACTACTACTACTCCTACTACTCCTACTACTACTACTACTACGCTACTACTATACTACTACTACTACTACTACTATACTACTACTACTATACTACTACTACTACTACTACACTACTACTACTACTACTACTACTGTTATACTTCTACTATTACTACTACTATTAATACTTCTAATATTACTACTACTACTACTACTATACTACTACTACTACTACTACTACTACTACTACTACTGCTATTAATACTTCTAATACTACTACGACTACTACTACTACTACTATACTACTACTACTTATACTACACTACTACTACTATTAATACTACTACACTACTACTAATACTACTACTACTATTACTACTACTATACTACTACTTCTACTACTACAATACTGCTACTGTTACTACCACTACTACTACTACAATACAACTACTACTACTATTACTATTTCCAGTATATCTATATCTATCTAGCCCTAGTGCTACTATTCACTACTTTTATAACTGGTGTTACTATGAAACTGTTGAGTACAGTTTCATAAAGTAAAATAAGTCATGTCAGTGCAGAACTAGTTCAGGTAATCAAAAGGGTCTTGTGTTATATGCTTTCTGTGTCCTGACTCCTGACACACAACAGAAGTATTGAAACAGGGTAACTTTTTGAATATACTGCATTAGTTTAACAGTTCGTTTGGAGAGACCAGTGAGGGGGCTGTTGTCTAACCCACTGGAGACAAATGCACAGAGAATCTCCAAGTCTGCTCTGAACTTTAAACATAAATACTCATTACTTTTAGGCCTACTATTATGGCTTCTGGAACTATATGCGACAGATACTGTTTTGTCCAATTGTGAATAATGCTGTTCTGAATCTCGTTTTATTACGTGCATAGTTTGAAATAAATAATTACTTTATTTTTTAATTGAATTTGTTTATTTTAGGCCTTTGTACTACTACAACAACAATCATGCTATTACTTTTACTACTATTCTTACTATTAACACTGTTATTTGTACTACTACTGCGACTACTATTACTACGCTTCTTACTTTTAGTGCATTATGATATAACAATGACATCACCACCTCTGGAATGTGCTCTGGTCTAAATGGCAGTAAATATTCTCTTAAGCCTGTGTAAATCCACAGTGACCTGAAGTTTATTTAGGGATAACCACATGCTGCCATCAACCAAGGCTCCGACTGTCCCTATTCATCATAACTAAATATATCTTGCCCGCTGCACTGATCCGCACTGTGGACTGAGAATCACACCTGTAGGCCTTCTCTCCGGGCGCGGACTACATCTCCCAGCATGCAGCGCGGTCTGGAACACGGAGCTGCTGCTTTGGTTTAAACGCTCTGCAACAGACTGCGCAACTTTGGGAATTAGGGAACTATAACAAATGTCCTGTTTACACTGTGCCATTTTAAAGAAGTAAAACTCAGAGGTTTCAATGGGGAATGGAGTCAACAAGGTAAGGAGGTTTGCTAAGCTGCGGACCGCGACTCGGATGCGGACTTTGCTGTCATTTTAAAAGATGTTTTAGTCAGTCTGAACTAAAAGAAAACATATAGGGGGGATCGTATTGTTATTATTCCTCTGCAACAATAGGAAATGCGTTGTCCACATCCTATCAAGCATCCTTTGTAAACAATTCATGCCAGTGAAAATTCCAACGCTCACTGCCCTGCATTTTCTTAGCAAATTATAGAAGCCTTTAATTATATAGCTCAAAATAAAAAATGGCTTTAACAAACTTCATTTTCATTATCATAGTTGGGAGATTACGAGAGGCTGGTCAGTATGTAGATTTTTGATAAATATAAATTACTATAATATAAATTACTATAACATATAATAATAATGAGTATTATAGATTCATTTATAAAACAGACAAAAAATATGGTATTTGATTAATAAAATATATATCTTTCAGGATTGCGCGCAAGATCCTGGACAGTTTGATCTGAAATTTGGTGTGCAGATGGGATGAGGTGGTAGGACGACCCCATTCATAGATGAGCCAAGGTATTGGCGGGGGATGCAGTCTCAGAGCGCATGTTTCTTTCTTCCGTAATAGAATCCCCTTCTGAGTCACGAGTCGTCTTGTTTTAGTCTGTGTATTGTTCAACAAGCTGACTAAAATCAAATCATAGGTTGTAATTCATCACTTAAGTTGTTATGGATCTGAAATATTAAAACAAAGCTGTCCTTTTACCCAAAAATACCTCAAAAGTGTATTGCCAAGGGGTAATGTGAGTGTGTGTGAGTGGGTAAAGTCGTCTGTGTGTGTGAGTGTGTTTGTCTATGATTGCACAAAAACTTCTGGACGTATCGTGTTTAGATGTGGTGTGTACATGGGATGGGATTTAGGACGAGTCAAATCCAGACCAATCTGTGGGCTTGGCGGGGTATGCACTCACCGAGAGCCCATTCTTTAGTCTTCTCTACTTGTTTAAATCTGTAAGCACATCTTTCTAATATGTTAATTTGTTTTATAACGGCATTGTAGGTCCTCCCTGACTTGTACTTGGGAAATTTCCGAGGTGTGTATTGATGTCCATTAAAATAGTCACTCGATCAAACCATAGCGTTTAAAATGTGATTCTTCTCTTTCTCTTTTAACAGATGCAAAAGACAGACTACAGCTCGCCCAAAAGAACATCACACACATTCTGTCCATCCATGAGAACGCAGCTCCCTTACTCCAGGTGAGGACTTAAGCGCGTAAGTCCTAACATTATTTATATCATGAAATTAAAAAAGAAAAAAACCTTTCAGCACCCTTTTTTACACACTTTAGACCAGTCCGTCAGGTAAATCAGGGAGAGCTACTTCTGTGCAGAGAAGTGTGTGTTGTCTGAGTGAAAACAGAAGCAGCTCATGTGATACTTATCAGAGAAATGCCAGTCAACAGCAGCAGGCAAGCGGGTGAGCTGTGTGGGCCAACGAGTGGGAACTGCAGTCTGCTCTCTGCCACTCTTACTGGAAGTATGTGGCCAGAGCACGCTTGAAAGAGTGAATCTAGGTTAAGAAAGAGAATTCAAGTCACAGCTAAGTAGGCATGGGACAGGAATGAAGTGTAGAGCCGTGATTTTTAAAATGTCAATGTCATTACTGCCATGAATGAACTATTGTAGGTATTGATTGAACTTATTTCATTTCACAGTCTACAGAGGATGTGCCGCAAACAATAGCAATGTCTTTCGGCCCATGTGTTGTTGTAAATCTGTTCTATGTTGGTGACTTGTTCTGTGAATTTTCTACTTTTGTTTTCGGTTACTACTTGGACAGTTGCATTAAGATTAGATAAGAAAAGATAGGCATTATTGATCTCACACTGGAGAAATGTACATGTCACATTTGGCATGGATAGAATCACTCAGATTGTGCAAAAGACAGAAGTGTGCAAATATGTTAAAGGTACAAAATATATAGTCTGTGCAGGATATTCTTATGTACAATAAAAAAGTGGCAATAAAATTAGGCATAACAAAAGAGAAATATGTACTTTTTATTGCTAAGAAGCTCTTTTGTTTTTTGAAAATGCTAAAAATGCATAGCTCCATAGTGAAGATAAACTTACCATATGAATTTCATACCAACGGTTCAGTCTATACATCTGTGTATGTCTGTGTTTGTGTAGTTCAATTATGATATATATTGCATTATTTTATATAGCATCTATTTGGACAATCAATGTGAATATTATAGAAGGAGACACATACTGTACATATAGGTCAGTTACAATATCATAATACAAAAAAGAATACAAAATACAAACATATGAATACATAAGAAGTTGGCATAGTGACTGTGAGTGAGACACTGTACACACAAAACCAAAATGTGTAAAAAAAAACAGATAAATACATAAACAAATCGTGCTAAAATGCCCATATTGTCCTTCCTTTTGTTGTCAGGAGATGACCTACCTTTGCATTTCAGCCGTCGACTTTCCTACTTATAACATGTAAGTACTGCAACAACTGTTACTCATTTTGAGGTCCACGAGACAAAATATGATTGTACTGTGATGATTGAAGACATTTTTATTCATTTATTGACTTTTAATCAACCAGGAAAGTTAACACACGACTGTCAAAGTGTGAAATGAACCACTACAAGTTCATGCAGCGTGGAGCTTTTGCACAAAGGAAGTGTGTCTGTCTCTGCTGCCGTGGAGATGGTTTGGGTTGTGGTGCTATTTTTATATGGCCTCACATAGTCACACATTAGGCTGCATGCTCTCACACACAAACATTGTCAACCAGTTGCTTTTTGCCTCTTACACCGGTGCTGAGAGCCCAGTATGTGAAACGTGATATGATTTTTATTTGTATTTGTTATTTTTTAAACACACCCTCGTTGGACTCAAAGAAGTAACAATGTATTTTTGCCTTAAATGTATATTTTAAAAGCATTGTTTCATTAATTTTTCGAAGAATTGTGTGACTTTTCTGACTCATGAATTGGACTTCCTGGTTAGCTCTATAGATCATACACGTTACAAAAGAAAATATTGGCAGGTTGATTTAGAATAGATTATTTCATATTATTTAGTATTTTCTGTACATATTTTTTTGTTTTATTATATGAGCTTCAATTAATTTATTCAATCCAATCCACTTTATTTAGCATTTTATAAAACAAGTTTCCTGCACAAAAGTAACACCTATGAATATACAGGTTTGCCTGCATTAGAAATAATTAGAATAAATAAAATCTTAAATTTAAAATCACTTTTTCAAACTGTGAATATTACTGTTTTACATCCTATTTATAGCAGCTGCATGAAATTTAAGTTTGACATATATAACTACTTCCTTACTTGTCAAATCTCGACAAAAATCACAGATATTTTCTCTCTTGACTATGCATCTCAATGAGAATTCAAATTCAGAAACATCACCAAATCAGAATAACAAAGCTCAAAGGAACCATATGCACAGAATACATCACTGACATTAGGACATTTTTATAAGAATATTTTCTGAGATGAACGATTGCATTATGTATTCGGTCAGGCAATATTTAGAACTAAAAGTCAGTCAAATTAATCAAATCTTTATCTGTAGAGCACATCTAAAATAGCATAGGCTTACCAAAGTGCTGTACAGACAGAGAGAAAACAAAAAAAACAGCACAATAAAAACACATAAAAATACAGAAATACATTTACACACATAAAAACTGAAAACTTGTCTCTTTCTACCTGGTATCAAAAGCCAAAGAGAATAGCCAAAGCCACAATTTACTTTTTTTTTTTCTGATTGTAAAATGTATACGATCTTTGAAAACATGTGACCTGAGATCAAATGTACATAATGGCCAAAAGAAAAAATACACTACTACTACTACTACTACTACTACTACTACTACTACTACTACTACTACTACTACTATAATACAAGTCCAAGTTCTTGTGGTTCTTGTCTTTTCAGGGTTCAGCATTTCAAACAAAGCATCATGTTCATCCACGAGAGTCGACTTAAAGGAGAAGGTTGCCTGGTGCACTGGTGAGAGGCAGCACATGGTCTGATATGTCCCATGAGCCACTGCAGCAGTTCTCAAAAGACCACAGTGACAACAGTGACCACATGGTTCGGTGTAGTATAATATCAGCTCTGGGGAAGGGTATTTATAGCTCCACTGTGGCTTTTCTCAAAACAAAGAGGAACAAACGTAGCTGTGTCTTTTAACAGATTTATAACACTGTTGTCGAAACATAAATCTTCCTCATGTAATACAGTAACACAATCTTTTAACTTTTACTAGATTTCCTTTTAGATTCTAAGTATGTTAACCTGTCCACTCCTGTGTTTTTTGTTTTTTAACCCCCTATAGTTTATCATAGGCCTCTACCAAATGTGCAGTTCATGTTAGCGGCATGTGATACTGCTGTACATGTTAGCATTATATGATATGAAAAGGTTTGAGTACATTTGAGGTCTGTGGAAGTTTCTGTTTCATATAGTGCTTTATGCAAGTTTTAAGTCAAACATTTGTGAATGACAGCCTTGTGTGTGTGTGTGTGTGTGTGTGTGTTCAGTTTGGCCGGTGTGTCCCGCAGTGTGACGCTGGTGGTGGCCTACCTCATGACAGTGACGGGGCTGGGCTGGGAGGAAGCTCTGGCCGTGGTCAGGGTGGTCCGGCCCAGCGCTGGCCCAAACCTCGGATTCCAACGACAGCTTCAGCACTTCCAGGACGAACAAGCAGAACAGGTAACAAAGGCTGTTTTTAAACGACAATTATTTAATACAAAACTGCGATTTTCGATTATAACCTAGATTATACTTCATTGATCTCTTGTTTGATTTGACAGATGTACTACAGACCTTCGTGGTGTAGGGTCCACTTTTATGGGTATTGTCAAATTAGTGATCTGTAATTATTTATTTATTTTGCGCAAAATTGTCACACTTCCAAATCGTCCTCATATCACCAAATCACAAAACAATTCATATTCCTAAACTATTTCCAATTGTCTGACTTGTAATGATTGTTGTTTATCTATTTTTTCTATTACTATTTAGCTTATGTATTGTCTATTCATACATTTTTGTCTAATTTTTCCCCAAAGTTCCGCGAATGGTTCCACACAGAGTTTAAAGACAACCCATTGAACGACGAGGCTCACATCAGAGACCTGCTGCAGAGCGCGGCCACAGTGAACGGAGCGGCCGCAGTGAACAGAGCGGCCGCAGTGAACGGAGCGGCCGCAGTGAACGGAGCGGCCGCAGTGAACGGAGCGGCCGCAGTGAACGGAGCGGCCGCAGTGAACGGAGCGGCCGCAGTGAACGGAGCGGTCGCAGTGAACGGAGCGGCCGCAGTGAACGGAGCGGCCGCAGTGAACGGAGCGGCCGCAGTGAACAGAGCGGCCACAGTGAACGGAGCGGTCAGCAAAGAACAAACCGAGTCTGAGCAGATCTGAAATCTCTGAGGAGGAAATCTGCTGTACTTTCACCAAACAACCCTGGACTTTCAGTGTGACTCAGCAGTCCAAACCATGAAACCTATTTATTCTGTGTAGATTGCTGATTTTCTTTGTGTAATAAATGTGGTACTAAACCAGGCCACGTGTGTGTGTTTTGTGAGTGTGATAACGCTTTGTGCACCTCTGTTTCCTGTTTGTGTTCCGCAGCTCATGCATGACATCTGCAGAACAGAGTCTAACGTGGAGTTATATGTAAGATAAAAGTCACAGCTGCACTCAACTCATGAAAATCCATGCTTTAAAGATTTACTCCTTTACTTAGATTTAGAACAGCTTTGTTGGAACAAAAACCTGCCCCGTGAATGCAGGTGGAACTCAGCAGATTTGGCTGTAACTGTGTATGTGTTGTGTGTGTTCAAACCCTTTGTCGTCATTCACTCGTTGTCATGTCAGTGTCTCATTTAGATTTTTGTCTTCTCCCTACCTTGTGTATTTTATCTTTCTGGATTTTCTGTTGAATTACTTTTTATTAAAATACTTTTTCAGCAGTCCTGCATTTTGGGTTCATTTCATTTAAGTGGTTACATGCTGTCCTCATGGAAATATAGACTATTATTCTATATACTGTACTATTATTATGTACATATTGGCGCCAATTCACTTTAAAAATCTGGATCATCTATTGCATTGATAACTGCATCAACCAATATGCTTGTTGGGCCTTTTAATAGATCAAAACAAATGATGATCAGCCAGAATGTCTCATAATATGCAATTATAACATTCCTGTAATTTATACCTCAGTTAAAAAGTTTGAATAAAATGTAGATATAGATGACAATAATATTGTTAAAGAAATAAAGCCAAACGTATTTATGCTAGAAAATATAATTCTTGGTAAATTGTGCAAATACGTTATGTGCATATTGGAACATACATTTTAATAATGAATGCATCATACTCATAAAGGGCTTATTTGAACCTTCGAAAACTGCTTCATATAACAGTGACAGCACAGACTGGCAGAAATGAGGCTATACAAAAGATAAGATGAGATAAGATAAGATAGACTTTATTGACCTCACACTGGAGAAATTTACATTTCACATCTGATAGAATCACTCAAGATTGTGCAAAAGTAAGAAATGTGCATGTTAAATGCAGGATATACCTCCAGATTTGTTCATTTATTATGTATTTGAAACGGTAAATATTGACCTGCTTTCGGTCCAGTCCAGACCCAACTCTTGCACACAGTATTGTCGTCACCTTCTTGGTGTTTGCATACTCAGCCACACGGGGGCAGTAAACCCAATTAAGAGGACTGTTATTTCCCTGCACAGTTCTCACAGCTCATGTCGTGTGACAATCACAAAGCAGCAAGACTTTAATGAAGAAATGTGGAGGAAGACGCGAGCGACGGCTGTTCCAGTCGGGGTTCTCCTGCAGAGGGATTCCCCATCACTGCGCGATGCGTGCGTGCGTGTGAGAGTGTGTCTGCGTGCGCGTGCGTGTGAGTGGGCGCAAAGTTTCACAGAAATGAGTGTGTTTTCTTTACGCATTTCTTTTTTGAACTTTGGCTCCTCCCCGACCACAAATCTAGTGATAACATTTAAGAAAAGAGCGCACATGAGCAGATAGTGTCAAACTAAGGCTCTCCTCAACAGGTAAGAAAGCACCTTTAAACTTATTATTACAGTCATCAACAATGGTCTAATTCTACATCTCTTTTGGAACTACGTATAATGTCATGTTATCTCAAATACACGTGTAATCCATGGTTGATTTGAGGATCATGCTGTGAATGGAGAAGTTCTTTTTTTTTTTTTTACATGAATAATAATTTTGTGCATAATAAAAATAGAACATTGCCCACAGAAACGCGGCAACAAACATAAGTAGCACTTTTTGTTCCTCACCAGTCACTTTTGCATACAACATTTGCCATGCTATACGAGACTGTTTATTTTTTCTTCTGTATTTTACAAAATTGTTTGAGATTAAGAGATCCTTTAGATGACATTATGACTTATGACAGGTCAACATGGATGAGGATGGACTGTCAGTCAGCTGTGGCAACGGCAAACTCAGACAGTGGCTGATTGACCAAATTGACAGCAAGAGGTATCCAGGCCTGGTTTGGGAAAATGATGAAAAAACCATCTTTCGTATTCCATGGAAACACGCTGGGAAGCAGGATTACAACCGGGACGAGGACGCCGCCCTGTTTAAGGTACAGTATATTACATTTAACACACACAAAAGAGAGAAAAACATTACATTGTGGAGAGATTACAGTATGTATTGTTGTTGCAGGCATGGGCTCTGTTCAAAGGTAAATTTAAGGAAGGTGTGGATAAGCCAGATCCACCGACTTGGAAAACCAGGCTTCGCTGTGCTCTCAATAAAAGTAACGACTTTGATGAGTTGGTAGAAAAGAGCCAACTGGACATCTCGGAACCCTACAAAGTCTACAGAATCATTCCGGAGGCAGCAAAGAGGGGTATGTTTAGACTCATAGAATACAGGTCATATTTTAGACAACAACAAAAAAGCAAGGACTGTGAAAAAAATATAAAAATCAAATTATTGCAATCTACAATGTTCTCAATTTTGAGTATGAAAATGTGCAATATTAGTGAGAGATATTAGTCATGGCTGAAGAGGAGGACTTGTTATTTTCTCCTAAACTCAATGTTTTGGTGAAAGGCCGAGCCAGGTACAAGCACGTGTCTTAACTTTTCCTATAGCCTGTCATGTTTGGATTAAATATGCACAACAACATTTTTAAAAACGCCTGTTTGAGCCTGTCTGTGTGCAACTATAATACTAATACTAAAATTAATACTAATATTAATTAATTAATTAATATTAATACTAAAATACTAATATACTACTCAAGTTTCAATAAGTAAAAAATATGGTTGTGATATTTTTGTCCCCAGATTGCCCAGCCCGACTTTCAAAACTGTTTCAATAAATCAATACAAAAATAAATGGGGAAACGGCTATCAATTGATTTCTGAATGACGGCAAATACTTCTATCTTCTAGAAATCTTTTTCAGTTGGAGAGGTGGTAATACAACTGGGAACCAAGCAATTTTTGAAAGAATAAAAAAACAAAAACATTTTCTGATAGTGATTAGAGTCACACACCTGCCATATTAGTTAGTTAGTCCTTTCCTCTGGCCAAATTCATGCATTTTTTTCCAGTATTGCCACCACTTCAAGAAACTTTTATGAGAAAATAGTTTGACCGCAGTTCACCCCTATTTGCGAGGGAAACATCTTAAAACTGTTGCATAAAACAACCGTATTGAAACGTTATTCAGAGATCTTGACAATAGGAACAAAACATGGTACACATAGTAATGTCGATGACCAGTTAAATAATTGTTTTTAAGAGCATCACTGTATTATTCTGTTATGAGCAGCGTCCTTAAGAGTTAGGATTAGTATAATGAATCTGAATTATCATTGCTCTTATTCATATACTTATTGTTCTTATTATTATTTTGACTGATTAGTAAATGCACAGTGTAATTTGGCATGAATGCTGGTGCCCTTCAGCCTTCAGTTTGGTCATGCGTCACTTGTTCAGACGGTAGGTTGGTTTAGTACTGTCTTTTTTACACATATGCAACTCTGCGCTTGGTTGATGCGGCAGGAAGCAGAGAGGAAACCAGTGTGTAGAAAAAAGACACTGCTTTTTATAGGGGGCTTCGGTTACTGGGTGCAGAGTGCAGAGGGTAGCGAGTCGACCAAAGGCTTGCTGCATTTAACATTAAAACAATAAAGTACATGAGGGATGTGTGATGTAAAAACAAAGCATTTATTTTTATTTGATCTTTTTTTAGGAATGAAAATGAGCAACCCAGAGGAGAGTTCACATCTTGGCTATTACCCCCCATATTCCGCATTACAAAATCAGGTTTGTAGAACTGTGGCTTTAATACCATACAGTAGCTTATTGTTATGTCCTAAGTTTTTATGAAAAAGGCTTAAAAAGTACAATAAAAATACTAGTAAAACCAAACACGTCTGGTGACACATGGCACACTAGGGTAGTCTTGCACAGTTTTTCCAATGTGGTTTTTCTGCAAATGAAAAATAGGTTCTTTAATATTGAATCTTGAATAGTCAAATAAAATAGTTAAATAACTTCCCACTCCTTTGTGGGCTTAACAGGAGTGAACAATGGAAACCCTTAAATGCATGCATTAATGTAGGTTCATCCGTGTATTTTATGCTCATGTATAATATGCACAGTAAATTACATTAAATTATTCCGGTTTATAAGCTTGAAATAAATAATTACATTGGAAAAAAATGTAAATAAATAATACATTTTGCTGATTATTGTGGAAATACTCGAGATTCAAAGTCAGGAGTAAACTTAATTTGTTTGTGTAATTCACACAACGGATTGTGAAAGCTTTTAGCGATCATTTCAAAGTATCCAACATACAGTGGACATCACTAACCCATGTGTGTGATATAATAGTAATATAGACGTGTTGTGGTTGCAGTTAAAAAATTGTACATAGAAACAAAAATGCTTGCTCTATTTGACAGCTATTGTCAGTCACCAGGTCTGATCTCAAAACGCTTCATTGAAATTGTCCTTTAAACTAAGATCCTGGTGTATTTATTTGGTTATGAGACAGTCAGATTTCCCATTATGAAAGCAGGCTGCTAAATTGCCAGACATTCACCAAGCCTTTGCATCTGAGAGAAACTAAATGTTAGGCCCCAAACGAGATCTTCTCCACTCCCTCTACATTCTATGGTCTCAAACTATGTCTTTACAAGCATCAAATTAAATTCTTGTATGTGAATGTAATTGTAATGAGAATTTGCGGTTTGTAGCTTGTGGGTAACACTTTAGACTAGCCCTCACTAATGAGCAGCTAATTAAGTGAACCTTAACGCTAACCCTGATGCTAACGCTAACCCTAACCCTAACCCTAACCCTAACGCTAACGCTAACCCTGATGTTAACCCTAACCCTAACCCAAAACCAAACGCTAACCCTAATGCTAAACCTAATGTTAAACCTAACCCTAATGCTAACCCTAATGCTAACCCACATGGGAAAGTGTCTGTTAGTTAGTTTGATTTTGAATAAGGCCATGTAGAATGAGGACTAATCAGTGCTTCATAAATCCCAAATAGGAGCTAATTAACCATAAATTATTATGCGAGTTAGTACTTATTAGTGAGGGCTAAACTAAAATGTGACCGGTGTGTGTTTTGTTTAGGTGTCCGGTTACATGGAGCGCAGAGATTGGAGAGACTTTCCCCCCACGGATCAACAGCCTCTTCCTCCCTCTCATCATCATCACCCAGAGCTGCAGTATCACTACCCCTCAGCCCTCAGCCGGCCCTGGCCCACCACACACGCAGAGAACGGTAAGAACCACTAGATCATTCAGGCCCAGGATCCCACTTTTGGAAACACTGGACTAGATGAATGGGTGCTGGACCAGACCAGGGGCAGCACTTTTTCAGACTTTTTCCAATCCGCAATTTTCTCCCCCTTTTGAAAAGAATGAATGAATCAATACCAATGTCCGACCAATGAGTGCTACAATGTGAAATCTAAAGACAACTAAAATTATATACTCAAACTATGTCCCATATTGTAAAAGGTAAAAACCAAATTATAGCGACAGATGCAAATAATCAGCAAACATACTTCACACAAACAAATACAAATATATAGAAAAAGGAAAATGTGTTGACTTACAATTAAAATAGCAAGTCTAGGGAATCTTAAAACAAGAAAAAGATGGAGGCTTTCTATGATGGCACAATCGATGTATACTGTTGTCGTCAAAACTGGAAATCTGATTAAATTAACTTAAGTTCCTGTTTTGAACTAGATAAATGTGTTTATTTGTTATTCTCTGTTTTCCAAATATAACATTTAATGCATTGTCTTTCCACAGGTTTCCAGCTCTCGTTCCACACCTACCTGTCAGAATCCCAGGCACCATTCTATGCAATGGACCCAAACTCCATCACTGGTAAAAATCAAATATTTTTTCACATAATATAATATATACAGTATGTATTGTAAGACAATAACCAAAAAAACCCTAAAAACCCTATCCATAACCTACAATAAATACAGTTTGATATCTGACTGTTTCTATTTTTGATTGTGAATATTGATTTCTTTTTCCACCCCTAATATCAGACTACTAAGAATCAGAATTATTTATGTTGCCAGGAGGTTGCTTACAATGACAATAAAAATAAAATGGCAATAACAATTCTCAATAATTCACAATACTGATAAAACCACATTGAGTTAAGCCTTTGCTGCATGACAAAATGCATTATTTACCTATTCGCAGTGGCAAAGGCTGAATGCTTTTCTGTTGTAAATGTTTCCAGACTTCAGCCTCCACGTGTCCCTGTTCTACCGAGAGTCTCTGGTCAAAGAAGTGACCACGACGAGCCCCAAAGGCTGCTGCATCTCCTCCTCGGCCCCCTCCACGTTGCCCTCCTCGTCCCCGCGGCCGGACGAAGCTCTCCCTGTGGCTCCGGAGCACATCCTCTTCCCTTTCCCTTTCCCTGAGTCCCACCGACAGGGGGCGGAGCTGCTCCCCAACGTCCTGGAGAGAGGGGTGCAGCTGTGGTTGAGTCCCGAGGGTCTGTTCGCCAAACGCCTGTGCCAGAGTCGGGTGTACTGGGAAGGACCCCTGGCTCTGTACGCAGACAAACCCAACAAGCTGGAGAAGGAGCAGCCCTGCAAGCTCTTTGACACGCAGCAGTTTCTGATCGGTGAGATTACTATTTGCAAATTCAAAACAGTTTATGTGATGGGAAAAGGGGTACATTATTATGGTGCATCCCTAATATTTACAATTCCACCCATTAAAGCTGCACCAAGCCCCGGTGATCCAAGATGGCGCCGTATTCAAATGAATGGTTGTGCTCAGTGGCGCTTTGTGCTGGCACGGTCGCTGACATTTCAGCGGAACTCGCCTGTATTTGGGCATCGTCTGGTCCTCCCGGTTCTGCGCAGTGGACGATCTCCCATGATGCGTTGCGCCAAACACGCGTGTGAGGGTCTCACACCAGGTCTCACGCTCGTGCACAGAGGGGCTCGGCCGCGCTCTGACCAATCAGAGCAGTTCATCAGAGCAGGAGTTAGAGCGAGAGCCACACGAGCAGAGTTTGTGGCACTAAAGTGTGGATTTAAAGAAAACCGAAGGATTTAAGAAGAAAAAAGTTCAGGATGACAAGGGACACTAAAATCCCCACAAAATCCGTCCTTTATTAAAGCGGTAGGTTCTCTGTCAGCTGAGGTCGAGCTGTTTTAATTTACATTGAGTTCTATGGGGAAAATTTCTGTGTAGCCCACGTGAATTTAGTTTTGTTTAGTCTGCACTACCACGAGAATCCCCTGAGCACGTGGCTCTTCAGCTACAACCTAGTAATACCCTATCCAGTTATTATTATAGATCCATGAGCTGCACTAACTGACTTTGAGAAATGTTCGAATGTGAGCGCTGGGCTCTCTGCTCACCCTCCCCGCACGGAGCTTTTGCCCCCCACTACCCACTTCCCCCTCAGCCTGTGCTCACATGCTAATTGTATACGGAGCTCACGTTTCACAATATGGATTGCACATTCGCACGTGGATGGCGTGACCATAGAATGATAGAACCGGGAAGCGCGGAGAGGACGAGACTTTCTTTTGGATGGCTGTTTCGCTGTGTAAGCAGAAGACACGGGAAGCTTCAGGTTAGCCTCCGCCGCTTGTTGTCGGTGCTAACGAGAGACCTGTAGCTTTTCTCAAGAAAGTGGGGGCCAGTGGTCTGCTGTGATTGGTCACAATCTGGACCAGAAACACATTCTCTTCCTTGTTTCACGAAAACTGGATCTAAAATATAATGACACGCCAGCACAAACCTGCTCTACTTTTTCTTCAAAAGGACGTATATCACTGCAGGGAAATGGATTGAATTTTTGTAATGAATACAAAAATAAAGTCAGTTAGTGCAGCTTTAAGCTTGTTCATGTCCTATGCTGATCTCGATACTTTGACTTTCATCATCTGCAGATACTTGAAATGACATGGACAGGTCCAACAGGGGACACTGTATCTGAAACCACACATATTTTCAATTGTGTTGTTTAATTGTTATTTAGCTTCAAGTAACTACTTGTTGTTAAAACGTATTGACATTCAGGGCGTTGAACTTTTTGCAAATATTGAAAGACACTATCAGGATATCAGCCTAACCAATATAGAAATCATCATCATCTATAACATTATTTTTAAACAGGGCTACACTATAACATACACATGTTGTTATACCAAAGAAAGACAAAAACATGGTTTAAAATACAAAAATCAAATAAAAAATGTAATTGCAGAAGAACCACCAGTGGTACATGTGCCACATTTTGTGAAAACTATTCAAAAACGCCTCCAAATATTGATATTACTTATTTTTTAGACTATACTATAATTGCCATCAAAACAAGAATCTGCCGTTTCTCCTCATTTGCATTTGAGCTCTCACGAAGTGTGACATTTCCAACTGTCTTTTGTCATTCAGAAATGAGCTATTTCCTGTCCTCAGGCAGGTTCCATACTTTCATGTCAGCCGTGGTCATGTGAATAAACAGTATTCACTGGTTCAGCTGGTTTATATCCTACCTACAGGACAGAAAGTATTTTGTGGAGATCGGAAACTGTGTCTCAGACCATCTGGCCCTGACCTGCGGAGTGCCACAGGGCTCAATCCTGGGGCCTCTCCTGTTTAATATTTACATGCTGCCTCTGGGTAGGTTAATACACAGTAATAACGTGTCCTATCACAATTACGCTGACGATACTCAGGTCTATGTGTCCCTGACAGCAGGAGAACATGGACCAGTGGACTCGCTCCTTCACTGTATCCAACAGATCAGTGATTGGATGCAAAATAACTTTCTCCAGCTAAACACAGAAAAAACTGAAATGATTGTTTTCGGACCTCAGAAACAAAGAGAGAGCGTTAATCTGCCACCTCCAGTCTCTCTCCCTGAAACCCTCAACTCAGGTCAGAAATCTAGGAGTAATAATGGACTCAGACTTGAATTTCAATAGCCACATATCATCTGTGACATCATCAGCTTACTTCCACCTAAGAAACATTGCTAAAATTAAAAACATTGTGTCTAAAGCAGACTTGGAGATTCTTATCCACGCATTTGTCTCCAGTCGATTGGACTACTGCAATGGCTTGTTCACAGGTCTCTCTAAACAAGCGGTAAAACAGCTGCAGTACATCCAAAATGCTGCAGCTCGAGTCCTGACTAGAACCAGGAAGTACGACCACATTAGTCCGGTCCTCAGGTCTCTGCACTGGCTTCCTGTGGCTCAGAGAATAGATTTTAAAGTAGCTTTACTTGTGTACAAGTCTCTCCATGGCCTCGCACCAGGGTACATCCGCGACATGTTGGTGCCATATGAACCAACTCGGGCTCTGAGGAGCACAGGGACTGGACTTCTGTTAGTGCCAAGAGTCGGAACTAGACATGGGGAGGCTGCGTTTCAGATTCATGCAGCTAGAGTCTGGAACCGTCTTCCCGAGAGTGTGAGACAGGCGTCTACTCTAGCAGCGTTTTTAAAACTGAACTGAAAACAGTTCTTTTTAGCTGTGCATACAAGTGAATGATTTTACATTTGTTTTTATCTTTAATCTTTTTAATGCGCTATGATTATTTATGATTGTAATCCCTTGTGTGATTTTAATTTTTTACGGTTTTTAACTACTTGTGTGATTTTATATATCTTGTGCTCTTAATCTGTCTTTTTATGTTTACTTAAATTCTAATGTTTGATGATTTATGCATGATGTTATATGGGTTGTGAGGCGCTTTGCGTTGCCTTGTGTAGGAAAGGCGCTCTATAAATAAACGTTGATTGATTGATTGATATTGGTGACATGGTGGGTAAGTCCCATTGGAGAGCAGCCTGTTATCTTGGGACCGTGGAGTCCCCACCCACTGCTGTGGTGCACCACATGTGACATGCGACAGCAATGTGTTTTTGTGTATTTCTCTGACATTTCCACCAGATTTACCAGTTGTTTCCAGACAATGTAGATCCAGGTGTGAGAAAAGTATTTGTGTCTCTCTTGTGGTTAATGAACTATTCTCTGTTTTTGCAGAGCTTCAAGAGTATGTGCACAATGGCCGAGCACCACCGCGGCACCAGGTGGTCTTGTGCTTTGGGGATGAATACCCGGACCCCCAGCGCAGCAGGAAGATGATCACTGCACAGGTATGTACACGTTAGACAAATACATGAGAAGAAATCCCTGTTCATTCAAGGATTTTTATTTTCTGTCATTAGTGCCTCTGATTCCCTCCTTTCTTCATACATGAGTAATATTAGAACTCTAAATCTGGTTGCAATACTTTAGATTTGTAGTTTGAATCCTATGTTTTGAAATCTACTTTTGAGCAATCCCCAGTAAAATAGGGGTTAGGTTTACTTGTGCAAATGACTGTGTTTAATATTGTAAAACAACAATAAAATCATAATACATTATTGCTCTATGGCATCCACAATGCAGTCCAAATGAGCAGAGTAAAATTTCTTTAAAAGCTGTTAATATAAGCTTGGATCCACCCAGTACTGGATCTAATTTAGAGATCCGTTTGGTTTCCTCATGCATGTGATAACTATAGACTTCTATTTCTCTTCAGGTGGAGCCAGTATTTGCCAGAAAGCTTCTCTTCTACTATCAGCAGAACAACGGCCACTACCTTCGGACCTACGAGCACAGCCAGCACCCCAACCTCTCCCCCACCCCAGACTACATTTCCCAGAGGCCTTTGCAGCATATCCAGGAATAAACTCATGGGTCACTTTGACAGTGTGGGGAGAAGCGGGGAAGACCCTGATATGACAGCGGTATCACTTGTCTGTCTGGCTGGTTTTTGCATTTTATTTTTTTCTCGTCTGACTTAGTGCGACACTGAAAAGGATGCGGTTTAGAGGCTGGGGGTATGAGGAGCGCGGATGGACACCAACACAGGAAGAATGAGCACAGGTGCACAGGAAGAGTGGCCTCGACAAACTCTGAGATGACAGAGATAAGATGCAGCAGAGCAAAGACACTTCTTGAATTAGCAAATAAAAGTACACTCTAAAAACAAACACAAAGCAAGTTTAAAATGTAAGCACTCCAGTCTGTCACAGGTTAGACCACTGAGGCTGTGTCATCAATGAAAGAATTAAAAAGTCAGCTGAAATAATATATATACATACTAATAGATACTATGGGCCCATATGGTTACTATGGTTACCTCAACAAGCTTAAAGGACAACTAAACACCAAATCAACTTTTTTAAACTCATAAACTGCACAAATTTGTTTATTATAGTGCTATCTGCATTTCCTAGTCATTTTTAGTCAAATTAGATCAAATCTAACTTTTGAGCCTAAAAACGTCTGTGTGGCGCCCTCTCTACCTTTTTGGTGGCACTGCATATGAATTTGGTCCTGGCCTCTCCATTGACTCTGTAGTACGTGACGTCAGTTTGTATGTGTGACGTGCGTCTGTCTGCGCCAGTGATATACACCCATTCAAGTCTCACACAGGCCCCCGGAAGCAGGTTGGAGTATTCTGGCGACATCTAGTGGATCAAAATTAAATTACATAAGTTGACAGCCGCTTCTGCTGAGATAATTCTGTGACTTAGGTTCAGGTGTATAGCTCTACAATTATCTTAGTGCGTAAACAAAGGTGGAATGAGACTTTCTGGTGTGTAAACTATTGCTTTAAGCTGCAATGACAACCACGCCCAACTCTAAGCCCCCCTTCTTGTCCCTTGGTCTTCCAGGCAACACCCTTTTAAGATTTTTTTTTCGAATGTTCATGTGGGCGGAGTGAGGCTGGTTACAGGTGTTTAGTCGCTCTTTAAAAACCCTGTGGTGAGCCAGCTCCTCACGGCCCTCTGTCACACTCTGCTTCTGGTGACGCTCGTCCTCTGGGCCTGACCTCAGCTCTGTCCCAGGGCTGCACTTACCTCTATAGCCAGAGAATTGCACATAGTCCCTTAAGAGACCGGGCATCTCTTGGCAGAGGATGGGTCATTTCTCGTCTCGTCTCCGGGCTCTTCTCCCCAGGGTTTGTGCCTCTGTACGCATTGGTCATTGGTTCACTTGTCTGGGGCTGTGAAGCATGAGGAGGGCAATTAAAATCCTTAAAATAAAAACATCAAAGATAAGAGGTATATGCATGGAGAAAAAATGACTGCACCTCATACCCCTTCTCATGCAAGCTGGAAGAGTTAAGTTGCGAAATTGTTGGAGCCGGATGTGTTGCGATGGGGGTTAAAAAGCTGTGGTGTCTTGGTCATAGACAATGGAGTGACCCATCAAGTTGCCGGGCCATCACTAAGCATTCACACAATCAGGAAACTCATTCTAGGCATTGTGGGTAATGTGTTTTGCCAAAAGAAACAAGAACAGTTTGGCACTTCACAGTCGCAGCAGCCCCAACTGTGGCATCCCAGAGGTCTCCCTCCACAGCACTAACCAGGCCCTGCCCCGCTTAGATTCTGAAGTCTGACAGAATCAGACTTTCACATGTAGGGGCGCCACAAAACATGATGTGTCCAAATGCAATGCGGTTAAGAGCAAACTATCACAATTAAATTGGCCCAAATCTAACAGATTGGAAAACTTCAAATTTAATCTTCTCAGTTCAAACCAGTAAAGAGGTGTGTGTTTTTAGGGTTTGTTTTCAAGCTGGAAATCGAACTTGGTGCTTGTATATTTGTATATTTAGAATTTAGAATTTAATCATAAATTCATTCTGTTTTTTTCTTTTGTGTCCCAATTTTTCTGTTTTCCTAAAACAATTATATAACATTTATTTTCCTACGAACAAATGATATGTTTTTCTAATTGGTTCAACCACCCGTCAATCAAAGCTGGATCCCAGTAACTCTTTGAGAAAGCAAAGCTTGTTGTCTTGTTTGCCCGGGTAATGTGAAGCCGTGTTATTATTACTATTGGATTATTTAACGATTTCTTTCAAATAGTTGTTATTTAGATTAGTCAAATGGTAGTTTGGAATGCAAAGGGCTTGGTTATAACTAGGTTAAGTTCAATTCATACAATATAATATAATTATATTGTAAATAAATATATAAATAAATAAGGAAAACATTACAATTGTAATGTAATTCTTGCAGCAATAAATCATATTTCTTCAGCCTGTGCTATGAGTAGAGATTCTTTATAACAAATAGCACAATTTGGAAATAAAGCGTGTTTGCTCTGCATTTGTACCACTCCACCTTTTTATTTCATTCTGCTGTCATAAAACCTCTTCTCAGAGTGTCTAAGCCTAAGCATAGTTAAAAAAAGGATTAATTGATAATTTAGAACCAATATTGATCACCTATTTCCTTTATTTCCTTTATTGCCTCCTACAGGACACATTGGTCTTGGGACAGGGGTTCACGTGCTTTATACAAACACCACAATACATCTGATATTTATGGACATTTAATAACACTTATGGACGTTGGTCATCCGCCCCTCATGGACAATGGCTCTACATTTTTAGTTTGATTCTCTGATTTGTGTTGGCGAATTGACAGTTTTGTAAAGTCTTCCGAGATAACTATTGGCTGTACAATGTTCCGAGAGGACCTTAATGCTATAAAAACATACATTGAATTACATGACGTTCACGTTTTCTTTCCATAATGTAGGCTACTTTATTAAAATAATACTTTTATTAAAATAATCCAAATCTGTAACTGGTCTCACAGAGCACATGCTGAAGAGATACATGTTATTGCAGCAGGATTTATCTCACAATGTTCATGTTTTTGTTTAGATTTTTTGTTTTTGTTTAGTAATGTTAGATATTTCATTTTATTCCTAAAGATAGAGAGTTATTGTTCATTTATCATGCAACACTGACATTTCCCCACTGTGGGATAAATAAAGGATCTCTTAATCTTAATAACTATTCAGTCTTTTCAGTCCTAGTATTCATGGTCCATGCTCAATGATTTGTGAGAACGTAAAAGTTAAATAAAAGTAAAATGAAAGCATTCGTTGTTGCCATCACAAACAGAAATTGTTTTGTTAAATTTCTGGACAAGAAATAGACCCTGGACTGCTGTATAGTTTAGTATAGTCCTCTGAGACAACTGCTTCTGTTAAGATTTAGGGCTGTAGACAAAAACCTTTAATTTAATTTAAATAAACAAAAGCATGCCACAGATATTGTCAGTTCAGCAATAACAGAATAGAGAATCATATATTGTGAACACAAGAAAATAATAAATATATAAAGTGAATACATTTTTGCAATAAGAAACAGTAGTCATAAGAATAGAATAGAATACAATGTAAAGAAAACAATTGTGTCTTCAGTGGAAAAATGTCTCTTCAAACAAACTCATAGTTGTTAGTTTTATAATTAAATATTTTTTTTATTATTTTCAAAATCAGATCATATGACATTATGGCATCATTATGTGATTCGTCACATGTTGCTCAAACTCACAAACCAGTGTAAGTGTTGTGTTCTTCTGGAAATGGAGCTTCAGCAGCAGTTCAAATTGGTAGATGATGACCTACGTCACCAGGACCACGCCTTCCTCAGCCTCACATCAGCTTGATGTGATGGATAAAACTCAAATGAGTGAAACTAATAAAGTGAAGTCTTGTGGTTGTGGTTTGGCAGTGGTGTTAGTTTGGTCTTATTGGCTGGAGGATCCTTGAGAGCCACATAAGAACCATCCTCTCCTCCTGTTCTTCTTCTGGAGCAGCTTCTCCTGTCGCTGCTGCTCCATCATATTGTCCATGGTTTGTTGTAGAAAGTTCTTCTCCTGCCTCACAGTGGAGCTGGTCTCCTGTGAAGAGGTCAGAGTGAGAGAAAGCTCCTCTATCTTCTGTTCCAGCAGTGTCCTCCTCTGCTCCTCAGACTGCAGCTTGTCTGACAGAGTCTCTGTTTGAGCCACAGCAGTTTGGACTTCCTGCTGTTTACTTGTGGACATGTCCTGCTGCTCCTGAATGATCTGCTCCTGCTGCGCCACCCTGAGGCTGAGCTCTGTCACTGCAGACAGCAGCTGCAGCGTCTCCTTCTCCAACACGTCCATGTGACTCTGAGCCTCTGTGGTGCTGCTCCTCTCCTCGTCCAGAGCAGATGTCAGAGAGGACACTTCTTTCTTCAGCTCCAGTTTCTCCTTCTCAATCCTCTGCACTGTCCTCTGAGTCTCCATGAGAGTTGTCCTCTCCTCCTCCAGAGCACTGGTCAGGGAGGAGACCTGACTCTTCCGCCCCTTTGTTTCTGTCTCAAGCATTTTGACTTTACTTTGAGACTCCAGCAAGCTGCTCCTTTCCACCTTCAGGGTTGACTTTAGAAAGGACACTTCACCCCTAAGGTCCTGTGTGTCCTTCTGCAGCAGGTCCACTGTGCCCTGAGCTTCTGAGACAGTCTTCCTCTGCACTCCCAGGGCCTGTGTCAGGGAGGAGACCTCTTGTTTCAGTGTCTCATTCAGCAGCTGCTGCTGTTTCCCCTGAGCCTCCTTCACAGAGGACTTCTCCTGAGCCAGTGCTGATTTATAAAAGGACACTTCACTCTTGAGGTCCTGTGTCTGCTTCTGCAGCAGGTCCACTTTGGCCTGAGCCTCCATGGCCGTGGATGTCAGAGAGGAGACTTCCCTCTTCAGCTCCTGTCTCTCTGTCTCTAACATCTGCACTTGACTCTCAGCCTTGATGACAGTGTTCCTCTCCACCTCCAGGGCAGATGTCAGCGTGAACACTTCCCTCATCAGCCTGTGATTGTCTCTCTGATGCTGCACCAGATCTTCTTTGGCGAACCTCAGCTCCTGCTGCGAGACAACTTTGTCATGGAGTTTATGGTACAGGTCCTTGTTCTCTCTCTTCAGGCTCATGCTCTGTGCAGCTGCTGAGGTCTTGAACCTCTGCTCCAGTTGGATAAGCTGGCTCTTCAGAAGCTCCTTCTGATGCTTTTCCTCCTGTAGCTTCTGAGTGAGAGACATCACCTGATCCCTCAGACTCTGCTCCTTCTGTTCTGAGGTGTAATACTTCTTAGGGAGGCTGGAGTTGAGGACGGTGATGGTCGGGGCGTCCCTGGGGTTAAAGGGGACATCCTCTGGGTTTCTGGGAGGTTTGCAACCAGCTTTCTGCTTTCGCTGCTGGTTACCGCTCATGAAGACACGAGCCTCTGTTTGGTGACGTTTGCTCATGTTTGTGTTTAAGAACAAACCAACTGTGTGTACGCTACAATCAACAGTGTGTGGGTTACAACTGACCAACTGTGTGTTTGATTAGACTGAATAATGCCTACACACACATACACTAATACAGCCATGGTTCTATTATGACGTCAGTGTCAGAACCACAGTTACCATAGCAACACTGCCATGGTTACCTACACAACACATGTATTTGCACTATAGAGCTGTTATCAATAATAAACATAGGTTGAAAGAAACTCGTACATATTTGTTTGTGACACTTTCAGTAGGTGGTAACAAAAAGGTTTTAAATTACCAACTTTCCAGCAGTTGAAGTTTTCCCATAAAACATCTCCTTGATTTTAGTTTTGTTGTAGCAACAATCACAGAGCAGATTTAAGATGAACTGGAGGCACACAAAATAAGAGACTTTGCTGCAGAAATACTTGAATAAAGATACAAATAAAGATTACTTACTCACTATTTATTTCATGAATTAATGTTTTATTGCACGGTTGTTTTAACATAGCTCGAAACGCTGAGATAGATAGATAGATACTTTATTGATCCCCCGTAGGAGCAATTCAGGTGTTGAGCTGCATCACTTGAATACAGATCCTTCTCTGAATGTTTATATATAAAAAAAAAAAAATTGTCCACTCACCTTTGGCCCTCCGCGGGCGGTTCTCCCTCTCTAAGCTCGGGTCCTCTACCAGAGGCCTGGGAGCTTGAGGGTTCTGCGCAGTATCTTTGCTGTTCCTAGCACTGCACATTTCTGGACCGAGATGTCCGAGGTTGTTCCGGGGATCCGCTGTAACCACTCTTCTAGCTTCGGGGTCACTGCCCCGAGTGCACCGATCACCACGGGCACTACTGTCACCTTTACCCTCCAGGCCCTCTCCAGCTCCTCTCTGAGACCTTGGTATTTCTCAAGCTTTTCATGTTCTTTTTTACGGATGTTACCATCGCTTGAAATTGCCACGTCCACCACCACGGCTGTCCTCTGCCCTTTGTCTACCATTACGATGTCAGGTTGGTTCGCCATTACCATTCGGTCGGTCTGTATCTGGAAGTCCCACAGGACCATTGCACGCTCATTCTCCACCACCTTTGGAGGAGTTTCCCACTTAGACCTTGGGGTTTCCAGCCCATACTCTGCACAGATGTTTCTGTACACTATGCCAGCCACTTGGTTATGGCGTTCCATGTAGGCCTTCCCTGCCAGCATCTTGCACCCTGCAGTTATGTGTTGGATCGTCTCAGGTGCCTCTTTGCACAACCGACACCTTGGGTCTTGTCTGGTGTGGTATATCTGGGCCTCTATCGCTCTGGTGCTCAGTGCCTGTTCCTGTGCAGCCATGATGAGTGCCTCTGTGCTGTCCTGTAGGCCAGCCCTTTCTAGCCATTGGTAGGACTTCTTGAGATCAGCCACTTCTGTTATGCTCCGGTGGTACATGCCGTGTAGGGGCTTGTTCTCCCATGATGGGCTCTCCTCCAGCACCTCCTCATCTCGCCACTGCCTGAGACATTCACTGAGTACGTCATCCGTTTTGGCCTTCTCCATGATGTAGTTATGGAGTTTGGATGTTTCGTCCTGGACAGTGGCTCTCACACCTACTAGTCCTCGGCCTCCTTCTTTACGGCTTACGTACAGTCTCAGGGTGCTGGATTTGGGATGGAACCCGCCATGCATGGTAAGGAGCTTTCGAGTTTTAACATCCGTGGTCTGAATCTCTTCCTTTGGCCACCTGATTATTCCTGCAGGGTATCTGATCACTGGCAGGGCGTAGCTGTTAATTGCCCGGGCCTTGTTCTTGCCATTGAGCCGGCTTCTTAGGACCTGCCTTACTCGCTGGAGGTATTTGGCAGTTGCCGCTTTCCTCGTCACCTGTTCGAGGTTGCCATTTGCCTGTGGTATACCGAGATACTTGTAACTGTCCTCAACGTCTGCTATTGTTCCCACTGGGAGTGAGATCCCTTCTGTGTGGACAACCTTGCCCCTCCGAGTCACCATCCTGCTACATTTCTCGAGTCCGAATGACATCTCGATGTCATGGCTGGAGATCCTGGTTGTTTGGATCAGAGAGTCGATGTCTCTCTCGCTCTTGGCGTACAGCTTGATGTCATCCATGTAGAGGAGGTGACTGATCTTTGCTCCGTTCCTGAGGCGGTATCCATAGCCAGTCTGGTCAATTACTTGGCTTAGAGGGTTGAGGCCTATGCAGAACAGTAGTGGGGACAGAGCATCTCCTTGGTAGATACCACATTTGATGGTCACTTGTGCGAGCGGCTTGCCATTTTCCTCAAGGGTGGTCTTCCACATTCCCATCGAGTTTGCAACGAAGTCCCTTAGAGCCCTGTTGATATTGTACAACTTCAAGCATTCCATGATCCATGTGTGTGGCATTGAGTCGTAGGCTTTCTGGTAATCAATCCAGGCTGTGCACAGGTTGGTGTGTCGTGACCGGCAGTCTTGGGCGACTGTTCTGTCAACCAGGAGCTGGTGTTTGGCTCCTCTGGTGTCTCTACCAATGCCCTTCTGTGCTGTGCTCATGAATTGTTCCATATGCCCACTTATCTTAGCCGCAATGATGCCTGACATGAGCTTCCATGTTGTGGAGAGACAGGTTATTGGCCGGTAGTTGGAGGGGACTGCACCCTTCACAGGGTCCTTCATGATCAGGACTGTTCGCCCTTCGGTTAGCCATTCTGGGTGAGTCCCATCTCTCAGCAGCTGGTTCATTTGTGCTGCTAGGCGCTCATGGAGTGATGTGAGTGTCCTTAGCCAGTAGGCATGGACCATATCAGGGCCAGGTGCTGTCCAGTTTTTCATACCTGAGACTCTTTCTCGGATGTCTGCCTCTGTGATGGTAACTGAGTTCTGTTCTGGGAGGTTGCTGTGCTCCTCTCTCAGGGACACCAGCCATTGTGCACTTCTGTTATGTGCTGCATCCTTCTCCCATATGTTCTTCCAGAACTGTACAGTTTCCAGCCTCGGTGAGTCTGCTCCCCTGTTGTTACCCTGCCACTGAGCGTACACCTTCACAGGTTGTGTTACGAACAGCCTGTTCACTCTTCTGGCTTCATTCTCTTTAGTGTACCTCTGTAGGCGGCTGGCCAGGGCTTGGAGCCTTTGTTTGGCAGTTTCGAGTGCTTCAGGTATGGTCATCTGGCTGTATATATATATATATATATATATATATATATATATATATATATATATATATATATATATATATATATATATATATATATATATATATATACATATATATATGTATATATATATTGGTTATGGAACGCCATAACCAAGTGGCTGGCGTGTGTACAGACACATCTGTGCAGAGTACGGGCTGGAAACCCCAAGGTCTAAGTGGGAAACTCCTCCAAAGGTGGTGGAGAATGAGCGTGCGAAGATCCTGTGGGACTTCCAGATACAGAATTGTAATGGCGAACCAACCTGACATTGTGGTAAGAGGGCAGAGGAAAGCCGTGGTGGTGGACGTGGCAATTCCATGCGATGGTAACATGAAGAAAAAAGAACACAAAAAGCTTGAGAAATACCAAGGGCTGGAGAGGGCCTGGAGGGTAAAGGTGACAGTAGTGCCCGTGGTGATCGGTGCACTCGGGGCAGTGAACCCGAAGCTAGAGGAGTGGTTAGAGCGGATCCCTCGGAAATCTCGGTCCAGAAATATGCAGTGCTAGGAACAGCAAAATGATATTGCCTAGAACCCTCAAGCACCCAGGCCTCTGAAAGAGGACCCGAGATTAGAGAGGGATAACCGCCCGCGGAGGGCGAAAGGTGGTACAAAACATATACAGAGCCAAGCATAAAAGAAACCATAAATACAACAGGACACATATGAATTCCATTGAATGCATTCCATTGAATGTATTCTTGTATAGCCCTAAATCACAACAGTAGTTTCTCAGAGGATAAGGTCAAGAGGATAGTGCTCATTTAATAGATTAGGCATAAACCACATAGATGTGTAAAGATATATACAGAGCCAAGCATAAAAGAAACCATAAATACAACACACAGGGAGAGAAAGAGAGGGAACCAATACTCCAGAACTCTGTAGTCCAATATATTCTTAGAAACAATCTCAGAGCTATCAGTAAATAAGTAAACACTTCTTGGATTCCTGCTTGAGAAGTTAATGAAAAATGTCTTTACAACGTGCACCATAAACATGTAGGAACATTTATCATCAGAATCAGAGGCGTTTATTGTCAAAACCGTTGCCTTCTTATTAAATGGACTGTGATGAGGGAAGTGAAATGGAAACAGACTCATCCCAGAAGTCACAGGTAGAAGGGACGTGTTCCTCTTCAACTGAAACTAAGAGACCCTCAATCAGGAATTAAAACTGCTGTGGTTTGTGCTGCGTTTTGACCGAAGAGAACTTTGTTTGTGTTCCCTGAGAAATGGACGCCACTTCCTGATGTTGAACGCTTGTTGTTGGTGAGTTTTTGTATTGTCAATTAAATAACAAAAAGAGAAATGAATAGGTCTGTTAGTGTTTGTGACGGCTGATAGTAAACCTCTGTCACATTCAGTCAAATGGTTTTCAAAAGTAAAATATAAAACATTTGGGGATAACAGAGACAGAGAGAGAGACACACACAGACAGAGAGAGACACAGACACATAGATAGAGACAGAGAGAGAGAGATACACACACACACAGACAGAGAGACACAGAGAGAGAGAGACACAGACACTGAGAGAGGGACAGAGACACAAACACATACAGAGAGAGGGACAGAGACACAGAGAGAGAGAGACAGACACAGAGAAACAGACACAGAGATAGAGAGAGAGACACACACACACAGACAGAGAGAGAGGGACAAATACACATAGAGAGACACAGAGAGAGAGAGAGAGAGACACAACATAGAGAGAGACAGAGAGAGACACAGACACAGACAGAGACAGAGAGAGACACACAAACACATACAGAGAGAGGGACAGAGACAGAGACAGAGAGAGACACAGACACA